AGTAACAACCGCACCACGTCTAAGTGGCCATTTTGAGCTGCAGCCATTAAAGCGGTTGCCTCACTATAGTCTGTCGCATTCACGTCAGCTCCAGCCTCGAGTAACAACTGCACCACTTCCAAGTGGCCATATTGAGCTGCAGCCATCAAAGCGGTTGGCAGATTTGCCTCTATCGCATTCGTGTCAGCTCCAGCCTCAAGCAACAACTGTACCACTTCCAAGTGGCCCAGACCTGCTGCAAGTAGCAAAGGAGGCTGGATGTCAGCGTCTCCTCTGCCATTGGGATCCAATGGTTTCTGCAACAACTGTGTAACTTCAACAACTCGATTGTTCGCACATGCAAGGAGTAGATCCTCCCAAATGGTCTCCTCAGGCGCGCAAAAGTCCAGGACTACCAACTGCACACTTGGCATTTGTCTGAGCAGCATGTCATCCTGAAGCTCGCCCATGTCTTCACTCAAGAGTCTTTGTTGGAATCTTGAGTATCCAACCCGACCGGCCAGAAGTTTCTTCAGATCCCTAACATTTTTTTCCACTCTCCACCATGCAGCCCCATTCCTCCTCATGAAGCTGGGTCACAGTGGCACCTGAGAGTGCTGTAATCTCCATTGCCAAGAAATCCTTGAGCCAAAACGGCTCTTCAGCAGGAATAGCAAATCCAAGGTCAAACTGGCTTCAAGATGCTTCAAGGTCAAGGATTGACTGGCTAGATTTAATCAAACAAATAGACGTGTTTTAAGACTGGATCAGTGAAAACACCTCTCTTGCTCCCACAAGGAGCTCACAAGCGTCCAGTGAACGGCTGACGGTTGACCGTCAAAGAGAGGGATATATTCACCTGCTCAACATATCCCAGACACTCCATGGGACTGGAATATGGAATATATGCCGCCCCATTGACCCCCCAAACCACCCCAACTATATGGCAGTCCCATGGAGTGTCTGGGATATGTTAAGCATCTTGGACGCAAAAGCGTCCGGCACTATGTAGGATTGTTGACCTTGGCTCCGGACAAAAATTGATTGGTAACGTAACATCTATAATTAACAGTCAAGAGTGAAGGTCGCCCTGCCCTCTATACTATTGCTATATTCATGAAGTGATTCTATATGAGGTCCATTATTATACAAGGACCCCTCACGTATCCTATATTGAAACCTTTGGTACCTATCTATCCAACTTTGGTACCCCTATCAACCTCTCTTGCCATGCCAAAACCCAAATCCTGCTTCCTCCGCGCCTTTGCCAACAGATCCGGCACCGGACCCTTGGCAAGGGTGACCACGGCGATCGGCCGCTCGTCCCACTTGGGGTGTGGCACGGCCACGACCGCCGCAGAGGCAATGGAGCCCATGGCTGCAATCCTCACCGCGCTCGCGAGGAGGTAACGGACTTCCATTCAGTCGACTTTGACGATGGTTTTTTCTTGAAAGAGCTTCTGAAGGGGCCAAGACGTCCCAAACCTTTGGGTTCCTGTTCCGGGATCCAACGGCGCGAACCAACCAACCGACCCGTGGGGGATGGCGGTGGCGGAGCGCCCTGGAACGAGAGGCCGAAAATGGAGCTTGTGAAGGAGGATCCCAAATGATGCTAAATCCAAACCTCTTGGTGCTTTCAACCAATAACAGAAAAAATATTGGGGTTCATGATTTCAAGTGACGTTTGAAGAAACCATCACCGAAAGAACCCAAAAATAACACAACTGGTTGGTGTTTTCAACCCATTTGAACATATGAATCATAGGGTCCAGTCATCCCCAAGGGTTGAACATCAACATCTCCTTCAACCATCACCATTCGACCAAATCCACACACACGGTTCCCCTCATGTGAACTCTCTCCAGCTGGTCCGTTCCCCCGTAAAACGGGCGCTTTCTCGCTCCCAGACACTCCATGTCTGTCATATATGCCGCCCCATTGACCCCTCTGGCACCACCCCAATGTATGTAAATATGCCAGTCCCAGACGGGTCGTGTCTGGGAAAGTCATGCGGACTCTTGATTCATACAGTACTCAGTACACCCGCCGTCTCTCTCGCTGCAACTCGCTCGCTCCAAGCCGCTGGTTTTCCATGTCGATGGACGAGATCCACTCGCCGCCCGACTTGATGACCTGGGTGAAGGCCCGGCCCACCGTCCAAGACGACCGTCCAAAGAACCGTGGAAGGTGGGGCGAGAACCACCTTCAAGTGAAGCCATGCACCACAGCTCTTGAAACCACCCGGGGCTGGCTGAAAGCCAACTAGGTTGGAGGCCATCGCTATTAGCGTGGAGGCCATTACTACTTCTAGCAAGAAGCTATAGTTGTTTTCCCGCTCTTTGCAAAACTATCTTAGCACGACCTTCGGCCAACACCTAGTGCAAACAGTGACTCCCAAGGCTTTCTTTTTGGGTGTTTGATGGTGTTCTGAGTTGCAACAGGTGTATCCCAGTAAAGTCAGCAAAATATCGTCATTCTGAGGAACGGTTTGTAAACCTAATCATCATCATAATCATAATCATAATCATAATCATCATCATCATCATCATCATCCATTGGGCCCTGATCAATACAACACCATTTTACACCTCGTGTTGTGGGACAGTTTGGTTGTATCGAACTGGGGCCCGGATGGACAGCACACCAAGCACCACCAGATGTCGGGGAAGTCAGGAGAAACGAGGATGCGCAAGTCCAATGTCAAGGGAGATGGATTTCTTGAACAACCATGTGATGTGCGTCTCAATCCTGAACAACCTTGAATGAGTTTGAACTGCATCTTGACCTGAATTAACTAAGGTCACCATTTCACCTGAGTCACTTAAGTCCTGAACATGTGACCAAAAGATCAATGTGTTGAGCAAACAACGTCCTTTTCAATTTAAGGTTCGGCCTCCTTAGTTTCCAAATGTTTCAATTTTCAATATCAATTTCTTCCGCTCAACCCACAAGCCATCATGCCATTGCCAAACAACGTCGCTTTCCCCCAACAAACATCGACGTCAGAACTTCCGTTCTGAAGCCTCGGCCAACAGTGCCATTGGACCCTATGACTTTGACATACTCTGACCATTCCCAGACACTCCATGTACGGCATATTTACCTACATTGGGGTGGTTTCAGAGGTCAATGCTGGTGCTGGTGTTTTCTTTCCCTAGGGGTCTAGGGATCCGTTTTCGTACCTTCTCAGGTACGGTGACGACGGAGACACTGTTCCAGGAGGGTCCAGTCGTATCTTGAGGTTCGGTACGACTGGATCCCTAGGGTTTGAATCCGATGGGAAAATGCGCTACCCAACACCCAACAGCCCAACAGCCGGACGTGTGGACGCTTCTGGGATCATTCTTCTCAGCCAGGTTCCATGGGCACTCTGAAATCATCATGGAATTGGAACACCTACCTGTTTCTGGAGAACATGGTGGAGAACATGGTCATCCAATAAGTCACGATGATTTCAGGGAGTAACTCCTTTGGGGTGCCATGACATATCAAGCGCGCCATGACCTCGCCCTCTCGTCCCGTCCCGCTCCGATCACGCCTCCTGTCCGATCACGGCTTCCGATCACGTCCAGTCACATCCTTGGATCGGTCGCTGATGACGATGGCTCCCTCCTCATCAATCTTGGCAACGTCACCCGTGACCAGCCAGCCATCGTAGAACTTGTCGGGGGCATCCGCTTGAAAGTACTCCTGGCTTCGCGACGTCACCATCCAATCACACCCAAACACTCCATGTACGAGTATGGCATATTTGTGATTAGATTGGGGTGGTGCCAGGGGGGTCCATGGGGCGGCAGTCCTATGGCAGTCCCAGACGGGTCGTGTCTGGGACATACAATGTTCCATCCTTTTCCGACCCAACCATTGTCCATCTCATCCCTTAAGGCGTCAAACTACTCTCCGTTGCGACCTAGGCTTAATTCGCCTACCACAGAAGCCAAGGAGCCACAATCTTCGTGATGAGTGCTCCTGTTCTGTTGGGTGCATGGAGCTACTTTGTCATGCCTGATCCACCTCTCAGACCGTCCCTCCACATCGAGATGTGGTCCAACATGGTCCAACGTCAACGACGTCCCTTCACCTCTCCTGAATGACCCAGGGCCCACGCACCAAAAGCTCTCCCGCTTGACCCCGTGGCAGCTCGCGCGACAAGTCCTCCGTGTCCGCCTCGATCAGGGGAGAGACTTGGGGAACGCCGTGGGGAACGTGGGGAACGTGGACTGGAACAACGAGTGCAAACAAATCCGTTGAAACGCATTTGTCATTGTCTTGTGACTTGTGTGTGTTTAAAATCGTGAGACCCCCCAACCATTGGATTTTTGGCTTTTGCACTGGGTCAAGCCCGTCTTAGGCTTACTGCACTCCCCCAGTACACCCAACCATTGGATTTTTGTCATTTTTTGTCTATTTCACTTCTTGTTTTGATGATTTTTAATGCAGGCCCAGATGCAAACGTCCTCTCCAAAAAATCTTATTTATTTCGCTCCCACCTTTGCCGGTCTGTCGTCTCTTGGGTTTTCGGGTGTTCGTCGTCATCTCTGCCCGGTGGCAATGCGCACGTGGATGCAAGGATTGGGCAAACCCGCCTTGGTCACCTCAGCCAGCGAGCTGAGCTTAGCTGACTCATCGGAGACGGGGACGACGGAGGTTGTCTGAGTCACCAGGGGGACCAGGTACAGAGTGGCCAAGAAAACGTCGAAAAGAACCTAACTCGGGCGTATCCCATTGCAACAGTGGATGCTAATGGTTATAAGTTCAAGACTACCATTCTCAAACATAGTGAATGTGATAGTGATAACCTTTTACCAATTCTTACTGGTAATGCGACGATACACCTAACCGACGTTGTAGAAGATTTGTTCAACCAGCACACTGCATGGACCATGGAGAGACTCTCAGGACTCATCCAAGTATGTAACTTCTGATTCAAATTGAATTTAGGGTTGCCAACCCTCCATTTCTCATCAACCACCGTAAGGATAAGTATCACTCCCCCTCACCTCTAACACAGCGCGTGCTCGTCACCAGGGTCCTTCCGCCTCTACCATGCTGCCACACGCATCTACCCATGGCAAACCCCGAACCAAGCCCTTTTTTGCCATGGAACTCATGGAATATATGAACATAAAGGAACACCAACAATACCAGGAGACCCCAAGGGGTGTTGGTTGGATCCTCAAAGATGGTTAATCTCACCCCTTACCACCAATTGGCACCTTTTCGGGTCTGGTATTTCACCAACACACTGGTCCCGATCGCCCCCGACTCGGAAAAGGTCGGCGCAGGTCCCAGAACACGCCCCAGTGACGTTCTTGAAGGTTTCCTCTTCCGACTTGCTGAGATCTGCATACTTGGCCACCTCAGATCCGGGAAAGAGAAACCGCGGCGGATTGACCAGGAGGGTGTCCTCTGGTGCAAACGGACCAGGTGCCAACAGGTGGTGCCTTGCGTGCGAGGACCGCCGCGAGGAGCACGGTGTCTATATGTCTGGGGCTCCAGTCGTGCATCCTCAGAAGTCCAAGGGCACCCCAGTCCCACCTTCGAAACGAAGGTACGACTGGAGCCCTATAGGGTATAGTGTCGACGTATATCTGCCTGAGACACCGCAGAACGACGCAGGTTCCGAGCAGGTTCCGCTCGAAGATTTCGAAGCTCGGTTCGACCGAGCTGACGTCGTGCTGTTTTCGAACGGGTTTACGGCGCGGCGACGGGTTCACCTCTTAGGACCGATCGAATCGGGGAGCGAAGTCTGAACGATGCAGGGTGCCGCTGATTGGGTCGTATTTTTTTCCAGGTCGTTGCTGTTGCCGAACCCGTGGAACGATGGCGGGCGTTGTCTTTGTTGCTGTGTTGGAGATACCCCTTTTCTTCCTTAGGATGTTCATCTCGAGATGGGGTTCTGCAGCTTCCGATGGATTCCTCCCACCGTCCGTGAACGGAACGCCCAGCCGCACGCTGACCGATGCTGCCCATAGGATTGGTCTCCGTCATGCCCCAACCTCGGTCGTTCAGAGACGGGTGTGTAGTACCCAAACACGACCGGGACTGCCATAGGACTGCCGCCCCAGACAGACCCCCCAGCCAACCACCCCAATGTATAGGCATATATACCAGTCCCATGGAGCGTTTGGATTGTATAACGGGCTTCCGATGGATCAGAACACCTGTACGCACGTGAGCATGCTCAGGCAAGCAGTCAGAGGGGGTCGGAGCAGTCTGCACCCACGCCGGCACCATTCTCGGTGGTTTTTGGAGGACTTTTTTTAATCCCCCGCTTTTTTTGCAGCCATATTTCGTTGGAGAACTCCCAAAGGTTCACTGGTTTGATGCATGGTGCAAGAAGGCTTGTGACTGCTCTGGTTCCTCTGCTCTGCTTCGGAATTCGGCGATGCTCGTATCCGAGGTGCAAAATGGGTCTAGCTCCAGCATGGAAAGAATTCCGGGTGTGGATCAGCATGCTCTCAACGCCAAAGAACTCGCTCCATGCGCAACAGAGCGGTTGCTTTCTTGTCTCATGCTCATCCTCCGACCCTTTGACATTCTCATCCTCCGACGGGTGCGCAGGGTCGGACTGCCCGATGCCAAGTTGCCTTGCAGAAACTCCACGTTGAGCCTCGCTGGACCGCTGGACTGCAGGTGCCGTGGCTGGACGTGGATTCGGGGCGAAAGATGGGGCGCCATTCATCATGAACACCATCATCCTGGTCGTTTCGAACCTTTGGACTCCCAGCTCCAAAGGTTAAGGTGGTGTGAAAGGGCCCAGGTTGTCTCCTACAACGAAACGTCTAAACCCATCATGTGTCCATCGTCTTCTCTGCAACTTGTGTTTCTATAGTGTTTCTTGAGTCTTTGGGGGTATAGTTCATCAAAGGGTCTCATTTCAACGTTTCACCATGTCCAAACAATGGTGGGAAGCTTGTGAGAGCGTGTCTTAACTCGACGTTCAAGGGCCCTCCTCGTATTTCTCCATCTCCAACACTCTCCAACATCCAACCAAATCAAGTCCGACAGACTAAGGCTCTGCTGCAAGAACCATCTCATCAGCTCTGGTTGCGGTGCTGAGCCCCCACAAGTGAGACGCTTCAAGTTCACCAAATGGGGCCGCATCGCATCCAGCCCCTGCTGCCTTAGAGGTAGCTCAGGGCAAGCCCACCAGCTCTTGCATATCTGATCATATCTGATAGGTTCTTGGATGTTCGTGGGAATTGAGCCTCACTCCCTCAACTTGATCTGGAAAATAAAGATTACTAGTAACCTTTCTCCACCTGGTGGCGGCCGCTTTGCTGGGAGAACCAATCCCGGCTAAATGTTAGCCACTGCGTGGGTGGTTTAGAAGTGATGGTGGGTTGCGCTGGGTCGGTGGTGTTCAAGCCACGCTGGGTCGGGTCTTCTTTTTCAAACCGAACATACACAGGAGTTGTCCATGTTCACCGGCTCCTGGCGTACTTCCTATGACTGGCCCTTCAGGTCCCACCTTTGGAGCCCTCAACGGGACAGTCACCGAAGCTGATTTCAGTTCACCCCAGCACCGCAACGGGAGAAACGAAACCGCGGCTCTTGGCTCGCGACAAGGGCGAAGTGTGAAGAACCCTTGAATTGCTTTAGTGTTTATCAAGGCTTTGGGACTACAACACCAGGTCAACGGAACTCTGGCGAAAGCTAGACCTTTGAAGGCTAGATATAATCCCTCTTCATTGGTGTTAACATTAGTTGGGGTGCCCCTGGGCATGCAGGATGCACTTTTTTGGATGAGCCTGGCCTGGCCTAGTCCGCCTCATGGGTTGACCATGTGCCAAGCCGCCGGTTCAATGCAGCACCTTCTTCAGGAGCCCCTACTACCTTAAAAGTACAGACCTAGGGGCAGCATGCAAGCCAGCATGCAGGTGCTGGCGCCCACTGGTACAACATCCTTTGGCAGCCTTGCTTTCGCTTCAAACCATTTAGCTTACGTATTATGACTTCACCACCCACATGGAGCAACGCATCTTACGCGTCGGGTCTTTCGCACGCGTCGGCCCAGTGGCTCGATATATTGCCGCACCCCTTGCCACACCGTGGGCACACCCGTCGACAGATTCACCTGCACGGTCCGGTCGAGGTATGTCGAGGTCGGTCGTGCCGGTCCAGGCCGGCAGTCCTGTCCGTCTGTTCGGGTTTAACCGAACTAAGTGGTTTTGTAACTAAGTGGTTTAGTAAGGAAAACTAGTCCTTGAACTAAGTGGTTTAGTAAGGAACTAAGTGGTAACTAGATGTAACTAGTCCTTGAACTTAAGTGGTTGAGTAAGAAATCTCTGAACCAAAAGGATCCCAAAGGACTGTCAGGGTCTGGTTTCGTCGAACCTTTCGGGTTTTGTCGTTCCAGGAGTGGATCACCTCGTCGATATGTTGGAACTCTGAACCTCACCCCAGCCAACAAAACAAGACCGACCATGACATGAGAAAATGCCATCCAAACACAGAGCTTAGATCTAGCAAAAGGGGACCTGGGAGAGACGTCTCGTCTTCCCCCAACTGATGTCCTTACGATTTCTGATGGCTGAAGTCATCTGTGATCATCTGGGATTACAATTTCAGCTCTGGGGAAAGGCCCTATAGTACTTTCTCTATCACGAGAGCCCCGTGCTTTGAGAAAGGATGCAAGCGAACCACAGGACGAACAACAACTGGTTGATGATTGTCAACCCCACCACGAATGACGCCTTCCTGGCATACAAGATCATACAAGATCATACAAGTACCAAAAAGGTCGGAGCCTGAAACACAAGAAAACTGTCTCAAAAAGACCACCACTGGTTTACAAGTCCCTTACAAGTCGCTTATCCCCGTGAAAACCGCCTCTCGCCTTCCAATCGGAGAACATCTTCACCATGTTTGCCGGGTCCATGTAGCGCGAGGTCAAGACCGTCCGCACACCTCCAGTCCACCCCGCCAGCGCCGGAGCAGCTGCGCAGGCACGATGGATCTATCCCGGTGGTGGAGTGGGAAGGAGTGCTTTTGAAGGGGCCAGTTTTTGGTAGCACTCCCAGACGCTCCATGTACAGTATGCCATATATGCCTACATTAGGGTGGTCAATGTAGGCATATATTCCATACATGGAGTGTATGGGACTTATAGCCGTCTATTATCGTCTATTCTGATGCTAATCTTAGGGACCCCTGACGTCATTGGGCTCCCGATTTTTCTGGTTGAACACATGTTGGGCCAAAGAGGTCTGATGACCGACCATCAACTGTCCGCCATGGGCTACATGTGAGGCAAGTAGTTGTTCTCGCTCCATTCCGGTCATCAAATCTTGGAGGAGAAGACGTGGGAGATCTCGTGAGCACCGACCCTTTCCGCAAAAAAAACGCTTTGGGTGAGGAGAGGTGGAGATCTATGTGACTTGCCAGTGATGAGCAAAGCGTGTGTATTAGTATATTATATAGAATTGCTGGTTCTTGCATGTTCTCTCTCTCTCTCTGTTGCTCGTCTCTTTGTCTTTTTCTTCGGCAATTAGTCTAATTATTTGTGTTATATGATGTCACACTTGAAAGTCTTGGGACATGGTGGTTGAGCAAGCAGCTGGCATTCCTTTCCCATTCCCTCTCAACGAGACAATTAAGTGACCATTATGCGCAGCAGCTGCCAATGCGGCTCAACTAACTGCCTTGCAACATTCCTGTCAGCTCCCGCCAGCACTGCCAAGTGGCGATTGTCAGCCGCAGCCAAGCCTTGAGCAACAGTCGCACCAACGCCAGATGGCGATGCTGAGCTGCAAGCATCATGGCGGTTGTCACATCTGCCCTTGTGACATTAATGTTAGCACCAGCCTCGAGCAACACCCGCACCACTTCCAAGTCGCCTTTCTGAGCTGCAGCCATCAAGGCAGTTGACCCATTGGCCGTTGCTGCGTTCTTGTCAGCTCCAGCCTCCAGCAACAACCGCACCACCTCCAAGTGGCCATTGCTAGCTGCAGCAATCAAGGTGGTTATCCCATCTGCTTTTGCTGCTTGTCAGCTCCAGCCTCGAGCAAGAACGGCACCACTTCCAAGTGGGCATTGGCAGCTGCAACCATCAATGCAGTTAGTCCATCTCCCCTTGCCACATTTGTGTCAGCTTCAGCCTCGAGCAACAACCGCACCACCTCCAAGTGGCCTTTCAGAGCTGCAGCCATCAAGGCAGTTGCTCCATTTGCGTTCGCCGCGTTCTTGTCAGCTCCAGCCTCGAGCAACAACCGTAACACTTCCAAGTGGCCTTTGAAAGCTGCAAAATACATGAGAGTCAGTGCCTACACCTCTCCCATTTGGATTCAGTGGTTTCTGAAGCAAACTTGTAGCTTCAGCAACTCGATTGTTTGCACATGCCTTGCAGTAGAGCCTCCCAAGCTGGTCTCCTCATGTGCACAAAAGTCAAGGATTACCAACTGCACCGTACCAGTAGCCGTCTTTTCCAGGCATATCATCCTGCTCACCCACATCTTCACTCAAGAGTCGTCGAAATCGGTATCCAACCCGGCGGGCGAACGGAGCTTTTGAAGCATCCTCAACAGAACGGAACCGCTCGTCTCCACCATGCAACCGATGTTCCTCCTCATGAAGCTGGGTGATTAGCCGCCACCTGAGAGTGTTGTAACCTCCATTGCTCAACGGCATCAGCGACATTGAGTCTCTCTCTCTCTCCCTCTCTATATGCGTATATAATGTATATACATGTTTTACATGTCTCTCTCTCTCTCTCTCTCTCCATCGCCCTCTCATGCCCTCTCCATGAGATGAACCAGAGGCTAAGGCGAGCTACATGTTTTACATTGTTATATATAATTATTACATATTACTGTATCTCTCTGTAGATGTTTGCTTCACTAGTTGCATTACAAAGCTCATCTTCTAGTGATGCCACATCAGCAACATACCCTATTGTTGGACGCCTGATCTCTCTGTCGACGTCTTGCTTGGTAGACCGGCTGCATTCGGCCGTCAGAGCGAGCGTTGCTGTTTGGGCCAGCTTCACTACCGAGAAATGACACGAACGGGCCAACTGCATACATCAGAGTCTCTGTCTGAGTCTCTGTCTGGCTGGGTTCGGCTGGCTCTCTGGTTCTGTGCCCGTCTGCCTTGCACCCACTCCGAGCTGCCCAGTCTTACCACTCCCAGACCAGTCTTGCGCCCAGGTGCCCCCCATCATCAAAGCAAAAGGAGTGCCCCAAGAGAGGACGTGAAACATGGGCACGAAGGGCAGCACCACCTGCAAAGGAAACACGCGAATGCTTGCAGGGAAGCAGCTGAGGCGCGGCAAATCACATGAATGCTCAATGCCCCGATGCCCCTGATCCAATTCATTGATCCTGACCGTGCTGCTCTTGTTCGCTGATCAACTGCAACGCCCAAATCGACGGATGGGGAATTCGGAGCAGGCCAGCGGAGCAGCGTGACCGAAGGACGTTCCCTGCCTCATAGCCTCTCAAGCACAGCTGATCTCCTTGTGCTGCCACCAACGTATGCCTGGTCGGTCATCTCGGCCGCTCCAGTGGACTGACCGGGGGTCTTTTACAACGTTGGTCGGGATTTGGGGTGTTTTGTAGCTGTATTCATCAGTCAACTCAAGTTAGGCTGCAGGATGCTAGAGGTACAAAGTACTTGTCATGGTACAAATGCATTCCCGCACAACATCAACCAACCATGGGGTCCAGCAACTCCTGAGTTGCGCGACTCCGGACTTCAGGACTAAGCAAAAAATAGAAAAAAAGGTGGTCCGACAAAGAAAGAGAAACAGTAACAGCTCAAAAGCAAATGACGAGACAGTAATACATTCTTGACACGACGGCACGTCGACTCAAGAATCTTCCTATGCCGGTATCTCAAACATATCGTGCGGTACAAGTAATGTGATAGTCAAGGCATTGAAGTCACCCGATTATATCTCCTGTCACTGAAGTCTTGAAGGGCCAAAGCTTTGGTGCGTAAGCTCTGCCCTGGTAGAAAATAACTAAAATCGATATAAATAGAACCCCCCACAGATACAGTAAACAGAAAACACCATCTCCGCTTTTCTGTTTCTATTTCGTCCCAGTTCTATTTGGCGAATTCTGCAGACGGTTCCGATTTTTTGGGGGACCAGGCATGGATTACGCACATAGGTCCCACGAACGATCCAAATTCAACGACCTTTACCTGGACATGTTCAGCACTCGACCTTATGGGTCACCATGGCCGCGCCATGGGTCATCATGGGTCATCATGGGTCACCAGTGGCGACGGAGCTGCTTCGTGCGATTGCACGATCCTCCATCGAGCGAAAATCCAAGCTGCAGATAGGTAGATCGATGACTATAGGAGACACCCTTCGGCTTGCCTGTGGTACCTGAAGGCGGGCCAAGCCAATTGAAGAACATCATTCAACCCACAACCATGGCGGTGCACTCTCATGAAAAAGAAGGTCAACCAATGCCATGTCTTCAAAAGAATCAATCACCAACTCCCAAATTGCAACCCTTGGAACGCGACAAATTCCCATGGGCATCGAATTCCCAGTTGGCGCCAGGGACAGTCTTGGTTGGGAGAACATCCATGTTGAAGTCGCAACCAGGCGATACTCTCCTCTGGTTGGTAGTTTCAACTGAATTGAACAATATTAGTCAATGGCGGGCTCAATCTTCTCAAGTAAAGGTTGGACATAGAATTACCCGAAACCACCACCCAGTCAGTCCTTCTCTTTGCTGAACTGCTCTGAACGCCGAACCTAGAACCCTCCTCCTGCCAATAGTAAACCCGGAAGCCCCTCTCTTGCCCCTCTCCTCCCACTCCTCCCCTCGGCCTGAAGTGTAGCAAAGTCCCATGGTGGTCGTCTCTGCGAAGTGCGGCCAAGGGAACTCTTCATCGCCAAACTTCAGGAACCTTGGCTACCCCGCCATGAAGGCCGCCGCACTCGCACCGCACCGGTGCGGCGTCTTCGGCACGCGCGGTGCTGTTGGGGGGATCACACGCGATGGCATTCCTGGCACATGGAACTGATGGAAACGGGCTTCCCAAAGCTCTGACCGGAGAGCAGGGTTTGAACATGGCCATCAATGTGTGCAGCCGGAATGGTGTCTCATCTGCTGTGGTTCGATGCGTTTGTGTCCTTTCATTGGATGCCATCCTGGCCATCCACACCCCTGAACCCCAGTAAGCATGATGGCTGCACAATGCAATACTGAATGCCATCTATTTGTTCCTGGCAGTTCGCATCTGACAGATTTGTATTATTGAATATGTTTGATGTAGAGACTCTGGAGTCGTTTTGGGCAGGGAAGTTCCGTCAAGTACTTCCAAGGGCTTCTCTAGTGCCGAAGAAGACGGGCAATCTTTCCAAAGGAGTAAGCTACAACTACGACATTGGGTGGGTCATGGTCCATGGTGGATCCAAAAATGCAAGATGTAGGTCATCTGCTGATTTGGTCCAAGCGAATTCCCGACCGAATAATCGCAAAGACTTCGAATGTAAAAGCATGGTTTACCCGGTCCACAAAAATAGCGCAGGCATCGCTCAAGATTGGTCTTGGAAACTTCATGAAACTTTGATCACAACAATTGTGCTGTTGGAGAGGTGGATTCGACCAGGCAGCTCCTCATAGTCAACGGCTTTCAAAGAGGAGAGCCCTGGGCGCGGCTCGGCGGACCGAACACGAGAGGACCTAGGACCTAACACCTCACACCTCCTCACGCATTTCAGCATGTCGATGTGTCCCAACCGACTTGCTGAGGGGGCGGCTCCCTCTCTTCTCGAGAGATGTCTTCCAGTCCTGACCCCCCGGTCTGATGACTTCAGTGGTCACTGCGAGTGGGAAGTTCCAATTTTTCGCTGGATCAAGCACTGGCGACAGCGACGCGTCCGACGTCAGCAGGTCCGACTCCAGCGTCTTCGACGGCTGGGGCCTACGAACCATCTGAGGCTTATACGTAGGAGCTGTCTGGTGGTTGGCCCCAATCCTTCAACTTGGGATGCTTGCCTTTGGAAGGTGCTGAAAAGCAAAGTTGTAGGACCGTTTAGTAAGAATCCTGGCACATGCTGTTGGAGGGCATCTCCGATCCCAGATCCCATTGAGTCGGAGAAAAAACGCAGGGCTGAGCAGCCTGTCCATCCCGAAAACTCCCCAGCTGAGCAGGTGCCTGTATACTCATTCAAACTCCATAAACATCTCTTTTGCATCTCACTTTCAGGGCCCCGGGACGCATCAAATTCAAGAAATGCGCTCTCCCTGCCCCGCTGATCTCAGCTTCTTCGCCAAGACTCCTGCAGGAAGTTCCCAGTGACCGGCAGCAGCATCTTCACTCACACCTCAGGCGAGACGACGAGTTGCGAGTTGTTGCAAAAAGAGGTTGTTCCTTTTAAAGACAACACCGAGGTACAAAAGAGGTTGTTCACGTCTTCAAGAGGTTGTACGCCTTAAAAGAGGTTGTTGCGAGTTGTACACCTTAAGGCGTACATTTCTATTCGCCTCGGGCACTCGAGGCTCATGGTGGATGGACTACCGTCGAATGCTGTTTCTGATGTGCAAGTCTTGGCGTATCAGCGTGTCCACAGAACTTTGTGTCTTCTGTATCTCTCTGTTGACTGCACTGTCTGCATCCACCGGAACTCTGCAAATACCATCGCAATTCAATAGTTTGATTTCTTATTTGTATGTGCCATCAATCCGGCAGTGAAAGAGGCTAAACCAAAGCACTGAACCTGCCCACAACTGGGCTCTTTGATCCTTGCAGCGGAGGCCGTAGAGCATCCAGCAGCTGCTTTCAGCAACAGCTCCCAATGTTTGAAGCCAAGTCGCACACCAAAAGCTCAACACTCTTGAGCATGGGTCCATCTACCTGGGCCAATAGTTTCAGCATATCAAAGTCAGCGATAATGATGCCTCAGCTGTTTTGGTCAAAAACGATTTCGATCTCGACCCGTGCTTGTGTTTGGGAATCTGGGAGTGCACAACAACATGAGTCAGAGTCGTTCAGTGATGCTTTTGTTGTCCAAGAAACGACTCCTACATTGGCATTCGTCTTATCTGCATTCCACTTGTGTCGACATCCATACTACGTAGGGGCGGCGCACGGTCTTGATGGAAACCCCACTTAAGCGTCCAAGTTCGCTCCGTTCAGCGGACGTCGAAGGGTATAGGGTAAGTAAGGGAGTCGAAGGGTCATTCCCAAACACTCCATGTGTGCCATATATGCCGATGAGTTGGAGTGTTTTGTTGGGGGGGTCAATGTAAAAGCATCTATGGCAGTCCCATGAAGTCGAACGACCCCGATTCGACGACGCGACTCCTCGTACCCCCTGCGTCGGACTCCCTGTGCCAGGCGGCGGTCTTGAGCATGCTGAATAATGTAGCCCAAATCCTAAGGCAGCTGAACTGCGGAAAGTTGCAGTCTGACCCCAGGCGAGTCAGGCGAGTTTGAGGGATGCCAAGACTGAGGTGGACGGTACAAGTGGATGAGAACAATACTTCACCCTTAAATTCAGCTTCTAAACACATCAACATCTCAACAGCTTGATAGGGCAGAATGAACATGTCTATTGGAAAAAAGAACAACTTGCTTGGACACCCACTTGATGGACCCCAGCAGCTGCAGTGGACTCACCATTTGTCACTGCAAAGTGCAAGCCGTTTTGCGTGAGTTTCCCATCTTCGAGGGCCCTAGTAGTTTTGCATCATTGTGGGATATTCTGGCTGGGCTAGCGGTATGTTAATTAACAGGGCCCATACTCACTTGCAATCATCCGCGAGCTGTCCATCAACGTGGCAAAAAAATCCTGCCTCTTCAAAGGCCACCTCCGGCAAAAGAACAAGGGGATCCACTGCATCTTTATAGGCTGGGGGTCAAAACCCCAAGGCCTAATCTCTGGTAGGTTGACCTCCCTTGTAGTCTATTCTATTCTGCTTATTTTTGGTGACCTGGGTGTCCCGTTGCCATGGCCGCCATAGTTGCCTCAACCCCACACACATCGAAACACACACACATCCACTCCAAGGGTCGGCTGGCCCCAAGCGCAGGTTTAAGGTGTGCAACACCGCACCCATGCACGGGATCGCATGGTAACCTAAGAGCCATCGAGGTGGGCGCAGCGAGATCTGGAACACAGCACCTGGTGTGGAGCAGTTGTCATTGTACAGTAGTCACTTGGAGGGGTGCAGCGAGATCTTTCAGCTGGCAGGGTGGGTTGCCAAGCCACTGTAGTTTCTGCAATTGAAACACATGCACATCGACCGATCGACCCTTCAATCAGCACTGCTGGTCGAACAACATCATCAAACAACTCGGACACTGCTCGGGCTCCCTGAATTGGTTCTCATCTTCCCGCCCCTCGAACTGAAACTCTGACACCGAGAAGGGCATGACACGGGTGCAACAATTTATACTGGTTGGTCTTTGCATGTCCTTAAAGATCTGTTGCGCGAGGCACGCGTTGTGACCCCAGCTCCTTCGCTTTGGAGAAAAATGTAATATCCACCATTATCCAACTAGACACTTCCAATGTCCCACACCGAAAGCTATGTTCCTTTGTAAGCGGCGTACTTATATAAGTCAGGCCAGGTCGCGTGAAGTCGACTCATTTTGGTCAAAACGCAATGGGCATGCTTGAACAATGAGCACGGCATGAAAGCGATAATTGCGCACGCCGTGTTATGGCAGGCATGTTTGTCTTGGTTTCTAGATGTTTCAATCCCACACCCCAATGGCACAGCACCATTCACACCAATGCGCAACTTAGAGAACAGGTTAATGCATCTATAGTTAAATTGTATCTAGTGACATTCAGGCACATCACGGGCACAACACAAAAACATGTGTCAAAGATCAATACAATCTATTGGCATCCCTGTGGAGCGCATTTCTGCAAGAGCACACGGTTCCTAGTCGACTTTACACTGCTTTACACAAGCTGAGCCGGCTTAACCCTAGTACCTACTATTTTTCTTTGGAGGGATTACCTTAGGCTTCAGCTCTTTCGTTTTGACCCGGCATTTCTTGACGGCGGCCAGCTCGATCCCGGAGTGCTCTCCGCTCTCTCCCAGTGGCATTCCAGGTGCCAGCCGGAGTTCCACATCAGCGTTGCAACTCGATCTTCCAGCTGGACTCCTCCACTACGCTGTGGAGTGAGGCACGTAAAACGGACAGAAGGGGGAACAAAGGAAAACAACATTAGCATCTGCAACAAAGATAGCAAACCCTACCTAGTCCCGAGTACTTATTTAAGAACACTGCCCCACTTTTTCCAAAATTGTAAGATGTCCGAGACCCCTAGTGTTCAGAATTGTTTACAGATTTCTACCTTCTTAAGCCACCACTAAGCTACAAATATGGTCGATGTTTTACGTGTTCTTTGTTTATTAGGTCCATGACCTATCCACTAGAATCACAACCAATCGTGCCACCTCACTAGCGCCATGCATTTTCACACGCAAACGCATGTGCACCCTTTCCCGATGGCACAAAGCCACGCAAGCGCACTTTCCACCGGGGCCGAGCACAAGTGCATCGCACAGCGACATCACCTTTCAACATCCTTACTTGTTAGTCTGATGAAAGTCTAGAAGCGAAGAATATCGAAAACATATTGTTGTAAAGGTTTTCTTTGGTTGATTTGTTGCAACTGTTGATACGAGTTTAATTATATAAATGATGAGTTAAGTTCAGGATCCCCAGGATATGCCTTCTGACATGTCTTTCTGTACCATACTGGGGTGTATGGGCTATATAGAACTTTCCTAAGCGACTGTGTGGTGTTTTTCAGCTCTTCCCAGGGCCTCCCATCTTTGCGGGTCTTCCAACTTTGGGGGACTCCCTATTAACAAAAACACCCCCGGAGTCTTCCTGTTATTTAGGGGGTCGTGTTTTTTATTAAGGGATCATCAAAGCACTCTGAAAAGACTTCTCTCTCCGAAGAAGTAGCCTTCGGACAACTCCGACGAGCTAGCAGCTAGCTCTGCCGTTTTGCAGGGCTTCGGGGGCGAATCGCCCCTGCTTCGCTTCCAAATGCAGCTCCTCCTTGTACCAATCCACATGGATCAGCACTGGGTTTGGAAACCCTAGGGCAAAGGATCCCCAATTACTTTGCCATGTCAAGTCTGTCTTAGACCGGGCGCGACAAGGACGCTCGGACCGTGGTTTCTGCTAGCCGTGGTGGACTGGGCGCCCATCACTTGCGCGGAACCAAAAAACACCTCCCAACGGACAACGGGCTCTTGGAGGAGACCGCCGGAAGCCGCTGTTTTTGTTGCAGGTCCGAGCAACTCCGGCGGGTCGAGCCCCCCGCAGGTCGGCTCCTTGCTTGTAGAGCGCCGATGCTAAGTGCTTGGTGCGTCGTTGGTGCTCCAGGTAGGTCTGAGTGTGGTAACCTGGGTGGTGGGTACAAGATGGTACAACATGTTCGAATGCATCCATTTGGTCAATTTATACAGAACAAACCGCCGAGTACCAATATGTTTATACCACTGATGTACTCTTTCAAGCACCAGTCTGTCGGAAAACCGCCTCCTTCGCTGTAGGACCGGTGACGTGTGGAGTGACATTGCTGAAGCGAGTGACGGGGTTGATGGCCCACTCTGTTGTTTATTGAACATATACAGACAAGAACAGCGTACGCAGGTGTTATGCAGTACACATACCGCCATTTTTCCAAAATCCACTAAGGGCAGTTGGCGAGATTCACTCAACATGGGGTGACAATCTAGGAATATCAGTCATCCAGTGCACCACACAGTTCCGCAAAATCCTCTCTCAGAAATGCAAACACCTGTCCTGTCGCCCCGTCACCCGCATGCCTTTCGATCGTGGACTGGTGTGACCAGTCCGGAAAGGCTTCTTACGGCCCCAAACTCACTGGCTCTCGGTTCGAACTTCTGATCAAACATAAAACGAACACATCAATCCCGACCCAACAGTCTTTTTTTCGACACCAACATCGACACCAAGCGGCCATTCCTGGTCTTTGTAATGATCAAATTATCCGGCTGCAAACGGCTACCTGGGCGAAGCAGATTGGAGCGCTGTTCGGGGTGGACGCGAAGCTGTTCGCTCGATGTCTGGGCTGGCTGGAGGGTCAGTGTGTAGCTTCAGTGGGAGCCCGAGGCCTGAGGCTGTAGGGTATGGTTCCTTTCATCAAGTGTTTTAAACATGGATTGTATAGCCTTGTCCAAAGGGTTGATATAGCGTGCTGATGCATGCTGGAGGTATATATTATCACTTTTGCAGCACGACCCAGGATAGGCAGCTAAAGTCCTGCCCAGTGGATAAGTTCTACGGGATGACCTAACTTTTTTTGCATCCAGGCATCCTCGATCCAGTAACGGGCCTGAGGCCGGCAATTAGGCCAGGCAGAACAAAACCAAAGTGAGGACCGTGGTCCTTTCTGAACTCCATTTTGGTTTCCGGATGTTTCCTGCTTCGTCGCAAAGCTCGTTCGTAAGGACGAGCTAAGCTTCTCTCTGACTCGTGAAACCGCTTTCTGACTCGGAACTGAACATGTGTGCCTTCGGTGGGCTGTTCCAGTTCTAAAAGTAGGTCAATCTGACCTGAAGTTGGTCAATCCCACATGAAAGCGCAATCATCTCAAACCACTCAGGATCCCGCTATGATCCACAGGACCACCAACTGAGTTCAGAACATGCACGGAATGATTGACTGACATTCACTACGCACGTTCTTTTTGATGCTTTCTTGGTGTGTACTGGGATATTGATCCAAACTCAAATCGATGCTCACAAATGGAATATTGTCCCCCCCAAAAAATAACTATAAGATGGAGAGCATGAACATTCCTAAAACATCCTAAAACATGACCGCTTTGCAAGTCTGCCTAGAGAACCATGACATTGAAGAGCAGGGCTGCTTCCACTGCTGCAAGCAAAGGTTGCAGGGCGGATCCATATATCTTCTATATAGAATATATGGCCTTGTTCCAAAAGGCATGGAAGTCCAAACTGGCCCCTGAGACTAAGTTTCCCCTACAGTATACGTTACAGCAATATGAACATTATGAATGTGTTCACTTGCGTGAATGATGGAGAGTCATACGCATCTACTTCTTCAATGACTGCACGACCATAAACATCACAACATGAACACCCTTGCGACGATACGGTCCTTCCAACAAGACACCCAACAGGAGCTGCTCGAAGTCGCGTTTGTTCACCGGCAACACCATGGCGCGAGGCGTCGACCTTCCTTCCGTGGTTGGGGGTCCAAAAGGAGTCCGACACTTGCAGTTCCCTCCGCATGTGGCTACATGGTGCATACCTACGTGCTCCACACCATCCACCTGTGACGCATACAGCTTCATACCTGCTGCTCCAAAGGACGCTATGTTCGGTGGAGGCCGCAACGTAGGTTGGAGACCATCGCTACGAACGTCACAAGAAGCTACGAACGGAAAAGAACTCTACTGCTGTCTTCTTGCTCCAGGATGGGTCCATGAGCATCGGCTGCTTCACAGCTGGGCGGCGACCAATGACAGTGAGTTGGCACGGACGGTCCACCTTCGAATAAAGCATATTCAAGCATATTCCCCCGGTGTAGCGGGGATTGATCCATACGGTTTCCCTCATCACTTGTAAGGCAAAACCAAGCATTCTTGAGGAGTGCAGGCTGTCGACCATACGTGATGCATAAACTTATTTTCTTTTGATGTGCTCAGGTGTGCATGTCTCCCAAGGTACGAAATGATCTAGTCGCCTCCACGGAGGGTTTTGAGGATTGATAATATATGATAATATTCAAAACATGTCTATTTGTTCAAGCACCAGTGGGGTCATGAAGAGGCGCCTTTCCTGTCTCAATGTGGATGGATAAGTCTAAATCTTGGGAAGAAGAAGCGCGATTCTGGCTGAGGGGCTTCTTGCAGTCCTTCAAACCTGGAGTCCTGATTCCCGTCTGGATGAATCAAATATGCTTGTGCATATTACAAGCAATTTTCAGCTCCAACTCCTCAGTGCATCAATCATGGCTTTCACGTGCCCATGATTCCCATGATAGTTGAAAAGGCTAAGCACACGTCTATAACCTATGTACACGCGGCCAGTGTACAACTAATTATGAGTCTATGAGTTTTGAAATAGCCTCAGCGCATGCGCTGGATCTGAGGGGGTTCATAGCAGCGACTATGAACCTCCCTTCCGAGGTGAAGTTATAAGTTCAGGCAATTGGTAGTTCTGCGCTTTCCTGAGCCAAAGCAGGACGCCAAAACACACGGCTGTGACGGAGGTTATCGCTCAGTGGCTTTGAGTTTTGAACCCCCCTGGTCCCCAATTGATTCAGCCCAATAGACTTTGACATATTACATATATATAGTAACATTATATAATTATGTATATGATAGTGGTTACAAAGGCCATGGGCACCTGGATTTTGCATTTTATAAATATATACGGGCTATAAAATGGAAAACCAGGACAGCCTGCCTATAAAATGACAATTGGGTTTTATGAAATAGAAACCAGACTTGTTTATGAAATGGAAATACCTCGTGAAGACATTTGGGTGAGAGCCACAGTAAAAACATAGATTCCTTACAGAATGCGAATGCCGCAGATCCATGTTCAAGGATCACAAACAAAGAGTTTACCGCGTTGTTAAACTTCCATCATGATCCCAAACAGGATCTTTACAACATGTTTTGCCAAGTTCCAGATCACCTCCCCAACCAGTTGTCTTTTATAAAATGAGTTCAGGGCTGGTGTCAGCAAAATCTGCCAGCATGGTCCATTATAGAATGCCCCTTGGATTTGCATTTTGTAAAGGAACGAGTGGACCATTTTATAAGGGGGCTTTGTAACCCCTATTGTATATGTATATATAGGTATATATAGGTATATTGTGACTCCCTTCTCAACCATTTTGAGCAATACAGTATGAGGGCGTGACTCACGTGACAATGTGTTTAATGTTTGGGGTTGATTTGGAGTGGACACTGGGGGACGATGAAATGACCACACATGTGATATCCTCAATTCGAGATCTAACCAGTGACTTCTGACAAATTGAAAAAAGGGAGCACTCCCTCGGGATCCAGTCGTACCGAACCTCAGGTACGGTGACGTGTTCGGCACTGTTATGTAGGTGCCAGGAGGGTGCAGTCGTACCGAACCTGACGAACACATCACATGGAAGTGGAACATGACCCCTTAGAAGACTACTTTCCTTTACAAACAGGAGGTGTTCCACTTCCATGTTAGTGAGTTGGAGTGTACCTTCTGAGGTTCGGTACAAAAACGGATCCCAAAACCTGCTGTTCACATCTCTTCACCCAGCGGCAGCTGTGCACGAATCGCCTTCTTGTCGATCTTCCCGGTCCCTGTGAGGGGCAAAGCATTCCACACCTCAGCGGCTCAGCGTTGAAATCCACTTCGGTTCAAAACCAAAGTCCCAACATCTAAGTGAGCAAAGTGAGCTCAGGCGTTGGGGCCAACCAATTCCTCCAATTCCCAACATCTACCTGAGCAGTTGCCCAAGCCTCCCACATTCGGGTGTTCACATTCACCGCATGCTCTTTCTGCCAATCAAGGCCTAACAAGCCTGCTGCAAAGTGCTGGCAGGAAAGTTCTCACCGTTGGAGCCCTCCGAACATCAATTCCAAGTCAAAGGAGACCTGGCTTGGCTGACGTGTTTGCTGGCGGAATTACCTGTCCATGGCGTTTGTCCTATTGGAGAACCGGTTCCCGGAGCCCCACGGGAGCGGTTCAAAGAGGCGGCTCCTGGACCCGACCTCCGTCTTCGGTTTGGTGGGACTGGGGTGGATGCCAGGAGGGTTGAACCACTGAACCTGAGGATCTGGGCCAGGAGCCCTAGTAGCCCTAGGGGTTGAAGGGCGAAACCATGGTGTTCTGCGACGTGGCCCGGACGTTCTCAAGGACAAGGGTAGTAAATCCTACACCCATCAGCAAGCATGCAAAGATCTATACAGGAAGGGTGGTTGATAGACATCCCTGACTTCTATAATTAACCACCCGAACTGGGCGGTGCTGGTAAGAGCCCGATGGTTGTTCTCCGAAACAGTTGGCAGCCTCCATGGGTGCCTACTTCTGTGAGATACGTTTGATCCTGCAAAAAGACCCGTGGGTTTTGGCATATGTTTGCCTCCCGAATGCCGAGTCAGACGTGCAAAAAAAACCCTCGCCGACCAACCGACGACATCCCCGGTAGGCATCCCAAGGCGCCAGGACATCATCAGGCAGCTGGAACTTGGCAAAGGCCATGGACAAATGCTGCCGCACCTGTGTGGCCATGCGGCTCACGTCTGTGCATCGCTATGAGTTTACCCACACGCTCCTGGCCTAGCTCTGTTTCGAAGATGGTTGGGGTGGGTGCCAAGGGGGGGTCCAACCACCGAACCTGAGGATATGGGCCAGGAGCCCTAGCTATTAGTAACAACAACTTCTACCTCCTCATCCAGGGTCGACCGTCTAGGGTGTTGGCCGAAAGGCAGGGGGAGGGCATGGCCCAGAAAGACATACACCACAAAGAAGGATTTGTTTGTTCCAGGTGAACCTCATTGATTTCGTCTTTGTAGAGTAATGAGTATATAATGCGTGTTCCTGGTGCTGCGGCGCCTGGTGCTGCGGCGGACTTCTTGTGAAACAACATGTCCCTCTAAAGGAATAAGGGGGCACCCAGAAAAAGGGTCATAGCTCGAGCCTTTGTGCAACCTACTCTTTGCAGCTCCTTATGGGAGCAAACCTCCATCAGGTGAATCATGCACTGAAAACGGGGCGACCTGGCGACCACGAAAGAAAACGAACACACGCGGAAGCGACATGGAACACATGCATTCCGTTCGACCATTTAAAACAATATACTGTAGTTGTGCTAGCTTTAAGTGTAAAACCCATTAACAAAAACATTGACCTGGAGTTTAAGTGCAAAATCTTGAGTAAAACCATGGTTCTGTCGGATTCAAACAGAACGCCATATAAAAACAATGGTGTGCCTTTGAGAGGAGGTGGCCAGGTTCCTCTTTGGCAAGAGTGACGACCTCAGGCTCCAGCGAGATGCCTTGCAAAACAAAACAATCTGACTCCCAAGCTGTTGCCCTGGACACATAGAGGTTGACCAAACTTTCCACATGTTGCACCATCCACACAATCTGTACAAGGATATTGTTGACCTTGAACACTCTGGATCAAAGGTCAAAATGAACACTTTCCACGTTGGATTTTGGTGGGGAAGCCCATCACATCACCCCCAAAAAGGATAGAAAGGTCATCGACTGACTGGGTAGGCAAGGGATGAACATGGTTGATGAGGCGCTTTCCGCTTTTTACTGCTTTTTCCACGGGTGCAAAAGCGAAGCAGCCTTTAATAGCAACACTTTCTCAAACAATTGGATTTGCTGGTGCAGCAGGGGGTTGAATTTGAGTTTGCACAAACAAGTGTGCAATAAAGAACAAAACATCCAACGGACTTAATCATGCCAGAACCACTTGCAAAGGAAAACACATACAGTATATTGTCATGTATCATATAGTTTCCTGGTTTTGTCGATGTCTGCAAATTCTACTAGCTCCGCATGCTTTGAGCTGACAAGAACATGTGTTGATGCTAGTTGACCAAAGACAGTTGTGGAACCATCAAGCGTCTCTGAAACTACGAGTGCCCTTTGCGTATGTATAATAAATATATAGTATGGCACTGCCCAACCTGCGTGAAGGTGCTTTTTGATGTTCACATCAGCGATTCATGATTGATGTACCCAATCAATAATTAACCACCCTATAGGCAATCTCATCTCAAAAATGACGTAGGGAAAGCATGGGAGAAAAAACAGTACTTTCTTGGATTCAGGTATGTATCATGTATGAGTTATGTAGTCCTCACAACTCCAAGAAACATAATAAACAACTCCAAGAATCAGAATAAACATCTTCAACAATCATAATAAACAACTCCAAGAATAAAACAAATCTCATCAATGATTCAGGAATCATCTCAAGGATCATGTTTGTCCTTTGGGTGCTTGTTCTTTTGTTTGGCGCCACGCCGGGAAAAGCAATCCACCGGAGCTGGCAAGCTGCTGCGATGGGACGCTCGTCCCACTTCGGATGAAACGCAGCTACCACAGCTGCTGATTCGATCTCGGCCATGGCAGAGATCCTCTGCGAGGACCGGCGTTGCTCGTGCGGATTCATGCGGGGAGCAACGATCGGCAGTTCAGCAGTTTTGGTTGTTATTTTTCTTCGAGGAGATTGGAACTCGTGTTGAATGCTCAAGGCAGGAGCATAGAAGAGCTCATGCATATGCCATGGGTTTGCATTGTTTCTGACCTAACTCCACGCTTCCAAAGCCCTTGGTGGCCAAAGGGATTTAGTCATCCAACTCTGCTTTGAACAAAGACCGAACCCTACTCCCACACTTGATTCAAATGCTCGGCTGCCTTTAGCGGGTTATCCAAGGCCTACGGTCCTTGTATATACTTATGTATATATATATATCCCTAGGGCTCCAACCACCTCCTGAGAAGGTGGTTGGGGTGGGTTTGGGGGGTCTAACCACCTTCTGAGGATATGGTTGGAACCCTAGGGTATATATCTCCTTGAGTGTCAGGACATAATCTTCCTGCTTCACGCCATCTGTCAGGATGGTGTTTATCTGATGCTCCAGCTCATCTGGACGAGCGGATCGGCTCGGATTTTTGCCTCCGAACATGGTTCCGTGGGCCGTCGGGCTCCAGGTGAATCCACAGCCATTTGATGCAATGCTAACCGTTTCCTAGTAGTGTGATGTACCTTATGGTAGATCTACGGGAAAAAACATTGAAAAAACACCAATTTTTTTCTAATACTCTGCGTGGCCAGGGGACAAATATTATCATCCCCTACTTGTGAATGCACGTGAAAGCTTTCAACATGCTTGACTTTTGTTCCTTCGTTGTCGGGGCCCCTCATCTACTACCTCCACCAGCCAGGACGACTCTACTTCAGTCTGCAGTGAGTGAGTTTGATCCACTCCTTGTCCAATCCAAGCAGCTGATTCTCCATGTCAATGGACGAGATCCATTCACCTCCCGATTTTACAACCTTATCTGAGGCAAATGGTTCATCCAAAAATTGACTTCGCACCCTGTAATAGGCACCAAATGATTCAAGTAACCCTCCTAGAAACCAAAAACAACCGATGAGACTGGAATACTTGAGGCCGGGGGTTGGTAAATGGGAGGTGAAAGTCCTTTTTGAGAGCGGTGTAGGCGTCATGTGAAGCATTAGAGTGCCAAAACCGATGCCATCGCAAATGTGGGGCAGTGCGAGAGGGATGTAAGGCGTCCCAAAACGACTGCTATCAGATTGGGGGGAAGTGTCGGTATACTGACTATTTTTTCCCAGACACTCCATGTAGGCCATATACCCCAACTGATCGGCATGTATGCCATACATGGAGTGCCTGGGTTACTATGCTTCCAAAACGGACGCTTCGGGGAGTTGAACCCGTGTCTAGCCGGGTGTCGACTGTAGTGGTTAGTTCACTGGGGGACGCCGAAGTGCTGCCGACTCCATTCCCCAGCCAAACACTTGCTAAAGTAAGAGTAACTCCAGCTAGCTGACGCTAGCTTTCGTGATATGCTGCCCCATTTTTGACCCCAAACCATCAACATGTAGAGGTGAATATGCCAGACTTAGTGTCTGCATGGGATTCAGGTATGAAGGTAAAATAAGTTGGTCTTCTTACTGCACTTGCATTGCTCTACCACCGCCAGTTTCTGATTCCTACAGTTTCTGACCTGATGCGGACCCACCTTCAAACACAGGGACGGGCAAAGGACACAGTGCTGCAAGCCTACCTGTCCCATCCCGCATTCAGCAAAAACAAGGGTGTTGGTCTCTTGGAGCAGCTTCTTGGCTTAGAGCGGTTGGCTGAGGAGGATCTGCAATCGTCCCGAATCCTCCCCATGCCTTTCTCCTGATAGGGCTGGACCTGATCATCCTCATACATCCCCTGAAAAAGATCATGGAAGTGGATGGCACCACCTCTTTAATATGTACATCCATGTACATCCGAAAATCGGCACCATGCCATCCGTGGATCCGCATGGTTCTTTCGTGTCTACGGGGGTAGAAAGGACCTGGATCCGCCATGCCCCCGATGCTGTGGGGATTTACTCTCAAATGCGTGATTGTTCATGTCTTGCACTAAGTAAAACCTATAGGTCCTCTGGCTGGGTTCGCCGAGGCGCGTCTTTGGAACGGTCGGTGATGACGATGGCGCCCTCGTGATCGATCTTGGCCACGTCGCCGGTGGCCAACCAGCCCTCGTGGAACTTGTTGGGGGCTTCGGTTTGGAAGTATTCCTGCGATTCCAAGACACGTTTCAGGTGAAGTCTGTTGGTTCATTGCTGGCTAGGCCGTCAGAGATTTAGATAAGGCTTGAAATGAAGATCAACCATTTGTTGAGGAGTCCAACATATTGTGATGATGGACTATGCTAACAATCGACTGATCTTCCATAACTTTTCCGCCCTACCTAGCTACCACACTGAAATGCCCTCTGGTGGAAGTCGGATGTTCCGTGCAAGGCACCTTGGAAGAAGAGGTTGATTGTGAATCTCGGAGCTTGCAGTCAACAATTCGGATGCGTCAAAAATGAGTCCAAAGTAACAATAGTAACAGTTGGTGCAGCAAGAGTATTCTGGGTCCGTGTTGTGGATCCATGTCCATGTTATTATGTTATGGACAACTATACAAAGACGAAATCATATACCAATTTAATAGCTGATAATTACAGCAACTCAGTCACTACAATGGACATGCACAAGGTCCAAGAGGATCCCTTTGTAGACTCGCAGCTGTGCTTTTTGTAGACGGCTCCATGGTCGGAAACGCCCGCCAGGTCCATCCAACCCCCGCCAGGTCCATCCGACCATCTTCCGACCTTCCAAGCCCAGTCCTGGATGACAAATGGACCCCGCACCATCAGCTCGCCAGCCTCTCCCCGTGGCGCTTCGCGCGAGAAGTCGTCCATGTCAGCCTCGATGGTCGGGGACCAGCCCTCCATGCGGTGAGCGGGTGGGTCGAGCGGATCCCAGATCGGTATGTTTTTTTTGTAGGGCTCCAAGTACCTTCCAAGAAGGTGCTTGGGGTGGGCTTAGAGGGTACAAATATATTCTGAGACGGTACTTGGAGCCCTAAGGGGTATCATCTTTTGATGTGATGGCATGGAAATTGTATGGATCTGGTAGTCCAGTATGAGCGATGCCCTCCCAATCATATTGCTCAGTGAAGAGGAACCACTTGTGGAGCAACCCTAGACTTCCAAGACAATTTGAAGCGTGGTTGACCGGGTTTTGTAGTGTAAAATCCTTAGTTGGTTGGAAGCCTATAGGGACAAACGATGTGCAAAGACCTTTTGGGAAAACCACTTTTTGTGCACCTGAAAACCAAATCTGTGGACCTGCCCGAGGAACTTCCGACCCTCTGGTGTTTTGAATTCACGCATCTTCAGCCTTCAGGTCAGTATTCATCAGAACCTGAGGGGCCGATAGAAGCAGTACGCCACGGGGCCCGGACCCCAAGAACCCTGTGTGGCATCTTCTTGGGCTGAGAGGCATGACTTTCCCTAGGATTCCAACCACCATTGACTCAATAGTCCTTGACGAACAACCATTATTTCCTCAGTTTTTAGACGACGAAACCAGCTCAACCTTGTACAAGTAGTCTCAGAAGGCTAGTGTCGGGGGAAAGGGCCAAGTTGAGTGTCGACACTTCGGTCAGACTCCGTCAGACTAGTGTCAATGCGCACTTGTACACCAGGACAGGGCAAGCCTTGCTTGGTGACCTTGGCGGCTTCCAACGCTTTCAACGCCCCGTGGTACTGGTGAAGAGGTGAAGATCGGTGAAGGCCCCCCCAACACGCACGTCTTCACTGCGAGGGACTGGGCTGGCGAAATTGGCATATATCAGTGGTGCAGCTGAAGACCAGTTCAGCTCACACGACCCAACAGCCTACTGGAAATGTATAACATTGTATAACCTGTTCTGTAAGCCTGGTATGCCTTCTTTTTTGTGGCACGATATGTCGAATTTTGAGGCTCTCACGTTCTTGAGCGTCTCCTCTTCGGTCTTGCTGAGGTCTGAATACTTGCACACCTTAGTGCAGGCACGAGCAGCTGTGTAGGCATGCATGTCGGCCCAGTGAGGTCCTACACAGCCGGCGGTTGCTAGACCGCGTTCATGGGTAGTCAGCACACCACAAGCTTGGTTTGCTTGCGCAAACCATACAAACTCTGGCAAAAGGCGGCATGGCCATAGCCAACAAGGCTGCACGGCGGTGAAAAAACACCGCTTCTACTAGGCTCCCCCCTCAAAAGCGGGGCAGGGTGAGCAGAATCATCACCTGTGTGTGTGTGAAACAGTACCTGATGGGACCTATATTGCATATGCATCAATGTATAAATGCACGGCCCAAAACTAAACATGCACTCTGACAATGGCCCCCCTGCAAGATTGGTTTCCTTTACCAAGCAGTGGTTTTGAGGTTCTATGTTATAATCTGCAGGGGAGTATTCTGTGTTTGCAATACTATTGAGTACACGCAGTACACCAACCAACGTTCATCCTAACGGTCCTAACGCATCATCGGTCCCCACTCGTTTCAAGTGACATCCAGGGAAGTGACATATCATAAAATCTTACTGGGGGGTTTAGTAATGGGTAATCTAAGCTCTTCTCGGGGCTATGCATATCCCCATGGCAAGCGGTTAACATGGGTTAAAGCATCACCTTGTATAGTGCTGGCAAGAGCTTTATTCACCGATAAAAACAAACCATCCTCATGATTCCTCATGGCATGAGCTCTGGGAACGACTGAGCTCAGGATGGCGGGCTGGGGCCGCCATGGCACGCGCTGCGCAATGGAGCCCACCGGGTTTGTCTCGGTCATGCCCCAACCTCGGTCATGTGGCTCAAGGTTGCGAGCAAAAGATCACAGCGGTGGTTGCAATTCCGATGAATCCAAGATAATCCAAGTATGCCAAGCCAAAGAACCTCACTTTATGAGCCAGGAGGACAAACACATTTGATCGAATTCGCCCCTCAAACCGGGTTCAAGTTGCCTTGGATGCACTCGACGCCAAGCCTTAGCAACTTGGAAGAAATACGCGACAAGAGTTTCTTTCATTTCAAAACAGGTAGGCGCGCAGCATAGGTGGTCAATTCAAACTCCTTCAAAATCAACCGAAACCAATCCCCGGCGCCGGCGCGTCCGGAAAAAACATAAAATTAACCTTCCTCTCGGTGCGTGCACGGCAGCGTGGAAAACATCTCTGATCCGCCAGCGTGCACGCTGGATCGATTCCAAGGAGCTCCTGGAAGAACCATCTCATCAGCTCCATTGGTGGCGCGGAGCCGGCGCAGATGAGTCGATTGAAGCTGGCCAAGCGAGGGCGCATGGTCTCCAACCCCTGCTGCCTCGGCGTCGCCGGGGTCCGTCATGGAAAAACCATCTCTCAAGACCCAGGCTTCCCAAACCGTCGACCCAGGCTTCCCGGACAAAAGGGGGTTCTTCTCCCATACACGACTAATGGGACTGGAATATATACATTGACCCCCCTAGCACCACGTATATGGCAGTCTGATTAGTCGTGTCTGGGTCTGTTCCACCTGTTTGGTAGTTGGGACAATCCCCAGAAAAGGTTTGCCGAACCTCTGAACTGGGTAGGCCGAAGCGAACTTGTACAGTTGGTTGAGGCATGGACTCAGTCCATGTTGGGCTCTGCAGTCCTTCAATTTGATCCATGTCTGTTGGTGCCCAGCTGTGGCTCGGACCCGCCCATGTTCTGCCTTTCCTTGGTCCGTGTGGCTCGATGTAGTTCCGGACGCCACGCCACACCGTCGGAACGCCAGTGGACAAAGCGACCTGCGGTGCGCTGCGTGGGGAGGGAGGGCAACGTAGCGACACCCGTGACGCAGCGACACTCGGGACACGAAAGGGCCATAAATCGCATAAATAGATGTTCAGCATACCCCCACTACCCCCCACGACCCGTCGCAGCGGATGGCCTTTCTCTTTTAAATAGTGATCATTATGATGCAACGTCTTCATTCCATTTGACCGGCTACAGGAAATGGGACAAACCCCTGATTTGTTCTTCTCGACCCTCCTCTGACGCAATGGCTCGGGACGCCACCCCGCTCCCACACGGAAAAACGGACGCCACCCGTCGGACGCCTGCATCGCCAGTGGATCCAGTGGGTTCCAAAGACCCAAAAATCACAGAAATAATCCAGCTCAAATGCAGGGTTATACATGTACAGTCATTCTCACGGTGGTCCCTACTACATTTTGGCTCAAGGAGAAAAGAAGCCCGCGGAGCTCCCGCTAGGTTGTTTCGTTTGGGTTTCTTTGCCACTTAGCCTTTGGACCTGTTTTCATTGGGTTATCAGCCGTACTGGCTTTCCCCCTACATACTTTCCCTTTCCATATATTCACATTTTACCCTCGCCCGCGCGGTGCCATTTCTGAAGTCTTCAGCCGATCCTTTGGTATTTGAGTTTTCTCGATACGCTTGGTTGATCGCGTCGACGAGTGAATGCACACGAGGCGTCCGAGACCGAGGGGCGGCAAGAGTGCGAAGCGTCAGAAGCGTCGGAATCAATTCGCACAGGGCTTTAGCGATCAGTTGGAGAACATCTTGAGTACCGCGGACGCGACTCAAACTTCTTCTGATCTTGGAGCGGCGCCGCAGATTCATTCGTCATCTTCGAGTTCCGGGGTTGTTGCTGTGCCTAAGCCGAGCGCTAGTGCTAAGTATCAACCAGCGAAACCTTCTCAGAAAGTGGGTCCTTCTTCATCGGTGCGATTGGTTGATTTTCCCGACAGTGCCTTTGTTGAAGAGATTTCATCGGAAGAGGAGGTTTCAGTGAGCAAGGAGGTGATCGAAGCTGGTGGGACGGAGAGTGACTACATCTCAGTGAGGCGGCTGAGCGAAGTGTCACGTGGTGTTGATCAAGCAGTTTTCGACTTGCCGAGGTGGATTTCCGGAAGCGTGATTGTGAATAAAGTTGCATTTCGGGACGAGCAAGGCGAATTCTATCTTGATTCGGCGAGCGATTTGTTTGAGTCCTTGAAAGGTTGCGTGGTTCTAGACCTGTATAAGACGGTGATTTTTCCGGAGCGACTTTCATCGAGAGATTCAATCAGACTTGCAAAACACCGGGGCGAATTCCAGACGATCGAACGGGGGACGCTGTCGTTTATCTTTGAGCTTCAGAGGAACGGGTTCACTTTTTGCGCGTGTTCTTTCATCGGAAAGGCGGCAAGTGGTGAGTACATTGAGGCTTTGATTCAGAGCGAATTGGCAGCAGTCATTCCTGTGATCTTTGTTATTTACAATCGCGATCAGAAGGCCAGTCTTGCAAAAGAGCTCAGTGCGGTAGCTGCGATTGACGATCAGAGAGAGGTTGTTCGGCAGTACCGGGATTCTGGTATCTTTGCGATTGAAGTCAGGCGCGATTTTGGAATTGCAACTCACAAAGAGGAGATCATTCGGCAGTTGCGTGATCAAGCTGGTGGTCAAGTGGATCGTGAGGTGAAGCCAAAAGGAGTCCCATCGGGTTTGGTGAAGGATCGCAAGTGAAAGGGATTGCAGGTGGAAGGGGTGCGTGAGTAAGAGATCATACAAAAGACACAATGTCAACAAATCAGACATCCAGTGGTTCGAGCGAATTGCATTTGGCAGTTGCAACAGTCGACCAATCCATGGTGAGTTCGGTTGGGGATGCATCTCAATCAACTAGACACCGTGACCTGGTTCCAAGAGCTAGGGATGAACACAGGGTAGCAAACCGCAGGTCGAGGTCCTTAGGTCCGTATCAAGCCTCGGATGGTGCCAGTGATGTGTCAGGTTTGGAAGCTGGTAGATCAGTCCCTTTTGATTTGGATGAGGAAGAACATCGATTGAGCAGGGTAGGTAGGGTCCAAGATTTTGCCAATCCCAGTCAAGGTCAAGGTCAGAGGGTTTTGCATGCGCAGAGTGCAACCTTTGTTGATGCTAGATCAGTCGATGCCAGATCCATTCAAGTAGGAATTAGTCCAGAAGCAGCCCAACAGTTTGCCGATACAGTTCGTAGTGCCACAATTGCAGAAGCAGAGTCAAGACATCACCAAGTAGTTGATGAAGTTCGGAGGGTTTCCAGGGTCAAGCAGCTAGGAATGAAGCTATTGTTGAAGCTGAATCACGCCATCAACATGTAGTCCAAGACATGGCCAGAGCATCCAGGGAACATGTCCAAGATGTTAGTGCCCGTGTTGCTAGTGACGTAAGAAGCCAAACTTTAGCAGAGGCAGAAACCATTCACCAGAGGGTGTTGGCTGAAACCATCCAAAATGCAGAAAGGGTTCATGCCCAATCGGTTGAAGATGCTAGGAACCAAGTTCAACGCAGGGATGAGTCAGTTATCCTTGAATTGCAGAATCAGGTCGCGCATCTCACTCGTCTAAATCAGGAACTCGTGGGAAGATTGCAAGCGGCAGAGAGCAGCGGTTCATTCCGCGCCCTGCCCGCAAGCGGAGGTCAGGTTGGAGCAAATCCAGGGTTGGAACCAGCAGTGCAGAAACCACCAACACATCAGCATGACGAATCTTTTGATTTGTTCGGTGATGATGAGCCGGCCAATGCACAATCTGAATCCCATGGTTCTATCAATCAAGTTTTAGCTGTTCTTCAGGAGGAAGTCCAGACCTTGAGAGAAGAGATGAGTAAGAGTAAGAAAGGAAAGAGTAAGAGGAAGTCTACTCCATCCAGCGTGTCTGCAAGTTCATCTTCATCATCGGATCATGACCCCGAGTATGAGAACGAAAGAAAATTAATGCGGTTGAAGGCTTACGAGAAAATCAAAGTCCCCAATCTACCGAAGTCAGCTGCAGAGATGAGGACATGGAAAAATACACTGATTTCTCAACTGGTTGCATGTTGCAGAAGCAGCGAGAAAGAGTTGCTAGCATGGCTCAGTGGCCCTCTAGTCGGTGAAGAAAAAGAATCAGATGTTTTTCCAGTTCTCAATCGGGTCTTAGGATCTAAGTTGCTAGAGGTTGCAAAAGGTGGACGGTTTGGGGTTGATTTCCAAGCTCTTCAGGAGAGAAGTGTGCGTTTGGGAAAGCAAGTGCAGGGTCATTTGTTGTTGGGTCGAATTTGCCGAAAGTTTCGTCTCGACAAAGAGCGTGGAATGAGTCTGAGTCAGCAACATCTACTGGCGTTGAAGCCCCAGGGTGTGGAGATCAAGGATTTGGAAGTCTTCAGGGATCGGGTTGAATTCGTGCTGTCAAGCCTCGAAACTTCGGAGTATCCTAGTGAAGCAATCCTTAGGACTTGGATTTACGAATGCTTAAAGAATGTCCCAAAGCTAGCGTTGAAAATTGATCGGTACAAAGAAGCAAATGCTGGTGACCCTATCAGATCATTTCAATGGTTATGGCAATCCATGATTGACTGCATTGATGAATCACAGCATGATCATAATACCGCATCAATCCTGAATGCTCTTCGCTCTAAAGACGATGCAGCAGCCGCTTCCGCAGAGCAAGACAAAAAGAAAGATAAGAAAGTCAAGAAAGAGAAATCAGATTCGTCCAAAGAAAAGACAAGTGTTGATGTTGCAGCTGCCTCGTCTTCGAAGGCTCCGCCCAAGGCAAAAGCCAATCCTAAACCCAAGTCTTCATCCTCAAGCCAAGCTAGTGGTAAGAAGGGGGATAAGGATAAGAAAGACGTGGTTGCGGGTGAGAAAGGTACACCATGCCTGTTTTACCCAAGTGGCACTTGCAGGAGGGACCCATGCCCATTCGTGCATGACCCAGCCGCCAAAGCTAAGTCAAAGGCCAAGCCTAAAGCTAGTTCAAGTGTCGCTGCCGCATTTGCAGTTGCTGCAGGAAACCTGCCATCAGCCGCCTCAGCAGTTGTCCCAAGGATCGTTAAAGCTGTTGTGACGTCTTTTGCATTGATGTGTAATCCCGGCATTCCAACTCCTGACAATCAGGTCCAGTCATTGCCAATGCAATCGTGTGAGGTGCCGTTTACCAGCTTCAATGCATCAACCGGAGAAGTGACTTGGTTGGGTGACACCGGTGCTGGCCGCAACATTGGGGGGGTTAGCCAAGTTGATCCTGAAATGATTGGACAATCCAATTTGCCAGTTACTTTCTCAACAGGTGGTGGGCGAAGAGATGGATCTAATTCTTGTAGAGTGGTTGGTGAACTTTCTGGGTCAAATGAGTGCTACTTGCTGGAAAACAGTCCATGGGCTTTGTCCATAGGTGATCAAGTTCGGCAAGGGAAAGCATTCGTTTGGTTGCCACGTGATAGCCATGATGTTTCTGAGGACGCTGAGCTGCCAAAGCCATTCCTGGTGAAGCCCAGTAACCTTAAGGACTTAAAGGTAAGTTGCCCAGAAGCATCCCGCTTTTACGCCAGTGAAGTTCGAGAAAACGTCCCATTGATTTAGGTGATGAAAAGAATGATTTAGGTGATTCGTCAAAAGCCTTAGAGGAAGAGTCTGATGGGTATGAGCCAAGCTTAGCACCAGAAGGCGCAGCAGCGCCGCCAGACGAAGAGGCTGTGGAGCATTCGTCGAATCATTCCATTTTACATCTTCCCAAGAGAGCGGATTGCCCCATTTGTCAAGAAGCAAAGCAAGATGCTGTTCCTGCTAGGCGTGTTAAAGGTGATCGAGTATTAACCGATAGCAAACCTAGTAAAAGCTTTGGGGATAGGATCCATGCAAACCACATCATCGTTGCTAAACATCGGTTGGATGGTTCTAAGAAAGGGCTGAAAGGAGAAACGAAATGCCTGGTTTTGCTTGATGATTTCACTAAAATCGTAATGGCGTATCCAGCAGCTACCAAAAGCACAGAAGAGTGTGTCAAGGCACTCAAGCATTTTGGTGGTAAACGTCCATTGGTGGAATTTCATGCAGATAATACTCCTGAGTATGAGTCGACAGCAAGTCAACTAGGTCTCGTGTATGATGCAACCGTCCCGTACAGGAAAACCGCCATCATCAATCGAGCCATTCGCACTCTCGAGGATGTCACCCGGTGTTGTTTAGTACAAGTAGGCAACTTCAATGAATTATGGCCGTTGGCGATTCGTTATGCAGCTTCGGCCTCAACCATTAGCAATTGGGACAAACTCCATGACCATGAATTTCCAGGTCTTCACATTCCTTTTGGTGCGTTGATCAGTTACAAACCCAATGCCCCTAAATCCAAACTCGGTGCCAAAACATCAGCCGGTTTGTTCCTTGGTTGGAGAATTGAGGCAGGGATCCAATGGAAGCGCACATATTTGGTTTGTGATGTTCAGAATGTGAAATCATGGTTGGAAGGAAAATCTGGTCTTCAAGTTCTCACTACAATGGTTGTTGTGCAAACTGGTGAAGATAAATTTCCCTTGCGTGAAGCCGTGCAAAAGAAGCTAGAATCCTTGGAGGATTTACCTGTACTGCGTTTGGAGGATGATGTTAGAGCATTGGAAGAAGAGGTGAGTCGCGAGGAAGTTGAACCAGAATTAGACGACATCTTTGCAAACGATCCTTTGGATGAACCAAAAGTCCATTCCAAACATGAAGCCATTACTTTCTCCAGACTAATGCAATATGGTTTCAGTCCAGGTTGTTCAGCTTGTGAAAAGGGAAAGGGAATCCATACATCCAGTTGCAGAGAAAGATTTGATGGGCTAATCAGGGGGGGTAAGTTTACACTTCCCAAGGGCATTGCAAAAGGTGTTGATTCTTGGAAGCTTGAAGGTGACCTGCTTACTCGATTCCACCATGTGAAACGCAAGAAGCTCTTTAATCCCTTATTGCCTGAAGATCTTCCAGTAAGTGCAAAAAGACTTGGAGCTAGAACCACCGAAGTTAAGTACTTTGAAAGCGGTGTCGAGGAAACAATCCATGATGAGCATTGGAGAGGTAACAACAAATCACTCAAGGAATTTTGGACAGGTCAGACAATCTTTCAGCTGCATCCCGAGGCATCGGACGTTCCTGCCGGAGCAGTCGAAGCAAAGGATGGTGAGCTGCAGGCTTCGCCGCGCCCCATCCAGTGTGGTAAGAAAGAGAAAAGACTTGCCCAAAAGTTGTTGCCAGCATATGGTGTTATGATAGAGTTTTGTTGTAGCCCACAATCTAATCTTGGAAAGGTTTCAGAGTCCGTAGGAGTAAAGCACATCCGTTTGACAGAAAGCAACGGAAAGGTTTCAGAGCTTGAAGTGCAATCTCAGCTATTGGAAGTGTTGGATTCGGATGCCATGAACGGTGTTGACCTTTGGGGATCACTACCATGCAACCCTTGGTCTAGATGGCAACACGTGAACTGCAAGAAGTTAGGTCCAGCATTCCGTAGGAAGCTAATGTTGAAAAGGTTGGAAAGCAAGAAACTCTTGAAATTTTTCTTCCAGTTGTCCGCAATAATCCTCAGGCGTGGTGGCAGGGTTCACTTCGAATGGCCAACAGGGTGTTCCGGCTGGCAGATTCCAGAGCTTCAGGATTTCTTCAACTCAAACAACTTTCAGCTTGCGCATTTCAATGGTTGCATGGTTGGAGGCGAATCATTTAAGCCATGGACAGTAGCATCAACAGATGACTGTTTAGTTCGCAGCCTGAGAACCAAAACATGTGACCATAGCCATAAACATGTGCACTTGTGCGGATCAAAGACACCAAAATCAGCATTCTATCCAATGCAAATGTGCGAAGGTATCATCTCATCATTGTTTCCCGAGTTGTATCACAAGTTCGTTCCTTGTATGAGTTGCGAGTCAATCACTGAAAATCCAGTGCATGTCCCAAAAGAAGTTGAGCTTGAGGGAATTCCCATTAGCATTCATGAGTTGATTGATAGGAAGGTCTGGAAGGACGACCCTGCAGCACTCAGTGAAGCTAAGAAGGAAGCTCAAGGTTTGATAGATGCGGGGACATGGGATTACAAGAATGTTGTCCAGAGGCACGAGCTCGAACACAGATCCAGGAAGTCAGGAACGAAGATTGCGATTGGGAAACTCATGACAATTATGAGTTGGAAGAATGCAGAATCAGAAAAAGACAAGAAACTAAAAGCTAGAATAGTTTTTCTTGGCAACAATGTGAGGGACGAGTTTGGTCTTGCAAGTGAATTTCAAGAAATCAAAATCATTCCCACTACAATTGCCGGGCTTAACATAAATTTAGCCTTCGGACTGAAGAGAGGAAACACAACGACTCAATCAGATGTTACCAAAGCTTATATCCAAAGTGATCTTCAAACAGAACATGACACGTACATCGAACTGCCAGATGAGTTGATTCCAGATCACCTCAAATGGATGCGCAGACCATGCACAAAGCTGCACAAATCGTTGTACGGGCACCCCGAGTCAGGGGGGCATTGGGGTTTGAAGTTCAAAAGCTTGATGACACAAATGAACGGTGTAGAGTCAGCATTATTTCCATCCAACTTTATCATCAAAAAGTGGGGCCTGTTGGTCACATTGTACGTTGATGACATTGTTGTGTCAGGTCCGAGAGAAAATCATCAATTTTTCTGGTCAGAGTTGGAGAAGCATCTTCAATTTGAACCTCCGCAGGAAGTCACAAAGGTTCTAGGGAGAACACACTTGATTCAGGAAGGGGAAGTGCAGCTAGACATGCATGACTTTGCAGAAGTCGCCTGCAAAGTGTACGAACAGGAATGCAAAGAGTTCAAAGGGTTCAAGAAGGCCCCAACCCCGTATCTTGATGAAAGTACACTTCCTATTGATGATTGGGATAGCCAAGGTAGTCTTGCGAGTTCAGCCGCCAGGCTAATCATGAAAGCCTATTGGTTAGCTAGACTTAGCCGTCCAGATTTGCTACATGCATTGAATGAACTCAGCAAACGTGTTACCAAGTGGAGCAGAAATGACGACAGAAGGTTGTTCAGGGTGTTTTGCTATCTAAATGGAACAAAGCACTATAGGATGAGGTTGAAACTTGATCCAGATGCAGAATGGGGTCTGTGGTTATTCACGGATGCTGACCATGCCTCAAAGGTAGACCACGGATATTCCACATCAGGGTCATTGCTCGCCATCGCTGGTGGAGGTTCATTCTTTCCTATAACATTTCAGTCCAAACGTCAAACAGCTTGCAGCCGTTCGACAACTGAAGCGGAAGCCATTGCATTAGCTAGTGCATTGTTCAATCCCTGCACAAGAGTTCATGTCGCAGTTGCTTGATTCACCAATTCCTTTGACATGCCATCAGGACAACACTGCCACTATACAGGTGATCAGAAACGGATACAGTGCTCGCCTAAGACATCTTGGTAAAACACACAAGATAAATGTTCAAGGGTTGTATGATGCTTTCAAAGAACCAGACATAAGCATTCAGCACTGTCCTACAGAACAACAGGCAGCAGACGTGTTCACTAAGAGCCTGGAAGTTCATAAATGGCAATCGGCCTTGGACATGATAGGAATTTTTGATCCAAGCAAAAGTTGAAATCGCAACAATTGCCAGAAATAGATCCGACCCTTGTTGAGCCGACCTTGATTAGTTCAGGTGTTGCTTGGCCATTTTGGCCGCTCCTTGGTAGGAACCAAAGCTGCAAGCAGAGGTGCCGTTCGTTGCCCTTGCAGTGTGCTGCTGGCTTTGCCGCGCCCTGTAAGTGTATCTTTCGTGCCTTTGTAAATTAGGTTGGAATATGAGATCAGTTCTCACAAATGAGAAAGTACTGTCACCCTTGTGCGACTGGAGAAGCGGCCAATGCACCCCGAGATACATGGCCAAACTCTTTGTACACAAGCCTTGCGTGCATAGTCCATATCATAATTTGTTTTCGCAGCAACCTAGCCTGACTTGCCTTTCCACGATGACCTGATCGTCACTTTCGATGGCCACGATGAGTGCTTGATCCAAACTTTCGATGGAGTGCCAAGTTTGTGTGGACACCACCCTTTCGAAGGAGGGGGGCACAGAAATAATCCAGCTCAAATGCAGGGTTATACATGTACAGTCATTCTCACGGTGGTCCCTACTACATTTTGGCTCAAGGAGAAAAGAAGCCCGCGGAGCTCCCGCTAGGTTGTTTCGTTTGGGTTTCTTTGCCACTTAGCCTTTGGACCTGTTTTCATTGAAAATACCAAAACCATGGACCGAATGTAGACTCTTGAAATCCATAAACCCCCCATATGAAGAGCATGTCCAAGAGTCTAGACGGGGAGGGTTTATGGTCCTCAAGAGTCTAGACCTATAGAAACCCTGGTTCCTTCATGTTCCTTCATGTCCTTTTAATAAAGGGCATCAGGCTCCGGACGATGAACCTCGCCGTCTCGGGGGAAAACCGCCAAACCGGAAAACCGCCTTCCAATCGATGATCATCTGCACCATCGTGGCCGGGTCCATGAACCGCGAGGTCAGGACGCTTCGGACACCTGAGATCCAAACACGACCCGTCTGGGACTACCGGACTGCCTTCAAGTTCCGGCCAGGGGTGGTGCCAGCGGGGGTCTGTCTGGAAAGGCAGTCCGACATGGCAGTCCCAGACAGGTCGTGTCTGGGTTAGACCAGCAAAACCCAAAACCCTTCATTTCGTGTTGGGTCACCGGAGTGATGTGAGTGTTGACCTGCCGCATACTAGTAGTGTTGACACAGTGGTGATGAGGGAAGTGCACAGGGCCACAAGAAGGAGCTGCCCAAAAGAGTTTCGTTTTTGGTGTTCCTTTTTGGTGGAAGTGGCCTCCGGAGAGAAGAAAACACCATGCTACATCAAATGCATGTATTTTTGTTTTTTTTTCTTAGTTTGCAGTGCTGATTGACCTGAAATATCCTGAAATCTGATTTTTCTCATGTAGCCTAAGTAGCATTCCTATCCGCACTGTAAAGCTGGGGGTAGCAACACATGCTAATCTTGAAGTACTGCAAGGCAAAGCAGGTATTTGTCGCATACTTTCTATGTCACGTATTTTCAAACCAAACTATTGCTTCAAGGTTTCACATGTATGTTCACATTAATATGCCGTTTGAGTTTTCACATCCATCAATTTCAACACGACACACACATGTACACACAAAACATCATAAAACAACTACAACCCAATATTTGGGTCATGGCTAGGTCTGCACGCCTCTAAACTAAAAGGGGGATGCACCTAGTAGGGGTGTCCGATGGAGACCTTGTTCGGTGCTGCAAAGTTGTCCACTTCACAAGCCCATGGAGGCAGCTGTACACCACGTGAGCATGCGACGAAACGTTTTGCTGGGAACTAGCCTAGCCTTGGTGCAATTCTGCTCGGCAGTCGCTAAGGCGGTTGCCCCATCTGCATTTGTCACATGCGTGTCAGCTCCAAAGAGGATTAAACAATCGCACCACTTCCAAGTGGAAGTTGCAAGCTGCAGCTATCAAGGCAGTTTCCCCATCTTCAGCCCCAGCCAGGAGCAACAATCGCACCACTTCCAAGTGGAAGTTGCAAGCTGCAGCTTTTGAGGCGGATTCCCCATCTTGAGTTGCCGCGTTCTTGTCAACCCGAGCCAGGAGCAACAACCGCACAGTTTCGAAGTTGCCACTGCGAGCTGCAAGTATCAAGGCGGTATCCCTCTCTTGAGTTGCCGCATCCATGTCAGCTGTAGCCTCAAGCAACAACTTCAACACTTACAAGCCGTCATTGCACGCTGCACTCATCAAGGCAGTTGTCCCATTGCCGGTTGCTGCGTTCGAGCAACAAGCTCCTGCGTTCTTGCAACAAGCGCACCACTTTGAAGTGACCATTCTTAGCTGCAAGCATCAAGGCGGTTGCCCCATTTGTCATAGCTGCTTGCTTGTCAGCGCCTCAAGTAACAACTGCACAACTTCCAAATGGCCATCCAATGCTGCAACCATCAAGGCGGTTACCCTATTTGCCGTTGCTGCATTCTTCTCAGCTCCAGCACCAAGCAAAACCCGTACGACTTCCAAGTGGCCATGCTGAGCTGCACTCATCATGGCAGTTGCCCCATTCGCGCTCACCGCGTTCTTGTCAGCTCCAGCCTCGAGCAACAACTGTACCACTTCCAAGTGGCCCTTGAAATTTACCACAAACACAGGTGGAGAGACAGTGCCTGCACCTCTCCAATTGGGATCGACTGGATTCTGAAGGAACTTTGTGACTTTGCCAACCCAATGGTTTTCGCACGCAAACGAGTAGGGCCTCGCAAACTGTCTCCTCATGCGCACGGAAGTCCAGGAATACCAACTGCACATGGTAACTGTCTGGCAGGCATCCTGCAGCTCGCCCATGTCTTCGCTCAACAGTCTTAGTCGAAACCTTGACACTCCAACCTAGCGGCTAGGAACTTCTTCAGATACAAACATTCCATTCTCCACCATGTAGCCCAGTTCCTTCTCATGAAGCTGGGTGACAGTGGCACCTGATAGTGTGAGAATCTCCATCGCTCCAAGACCCTTCAAGAGTAGCTTCCGTTAAAAACCATCTGCACTCCTGACGAACATGGTTAATTACGTGGATGGCATGGCCCCTTGGAAGACCCCTTTTCTCTACCAACAGGGAGAGTGCTGTTGCCCCAGCTGCCCGAGCTCGGCATAAACTGGGCCGAACATGGCGGAAAGGAAGCCATGGGAAAACGCTCCACCCACTCTCCACCTGCGTCTTTGGGTGGACAATCCCCCCCAATGTACGGACTTTGCAGGCGATCCACTTTTCCTGGGTAGCGACAGCCACACGCCTCAACACGAAGATTTCTCAGGTGCGCGACAGCCAGCCACTAGAGGACCAAAGCACACCCGAAGACACAGGAATCATCTGTCAGCTTCCAAGATCTTGCGAAGTTTTTACCTTGCCCTAAGTACCACCTTTGCCCTTCTTCCCAAGCGAACGCGCCCCATGCTTCCTCCTTCTTGCTAAGTTCAGCTCAGGCGCCGCCCATCATCATCGCAAATGGCAAACACCACGACAACACATGAAACATCGGCACAAAGGGCAGTACCACCTGCCAGCGACTCTGGCAGGCCGCCACGAAACGAACGGCCACACACATGGGACCGGCTTTAGGGTTCCAGCATTGATCGATTGACCCCCTTTCAACCACCCCAACCTCTAAGATTATAGGTGGTGTATGTGCATGATTGTGCATGTGTTAATAGTGCACAGTCCATGCCAATCCATGCCAGTCATGTGACGACGTCTGTGGGTCGACCCCAAAAGCCTCGCTTCTGAAAACGCCACGTTCCACGTTTGGCTCTGGAGGGGCTTTGGCAACGGTCTTGGTGGAGGTGGGATGTGTCCCAACTCCCGGCTGCCACGCGCTGCCAGTCTGGTGTGAAGACCATGTGGGGAGCCATCCAAATTGAGTCCGAAGAAGGCATGAGGAGTGTCATCCAACACCTTCCTATGACACATCCGTGAAGGAGATGGCACGTGTGAAGATCTTCCACTTGAAGGGGTCCTGAATAATTATGTATGCCGTATGCTTTCATGCTTTTTCTCCATGTCCCCAGCTCTGTCTTCAAAGGCTCTCTCTCTCTCTCTCTGTTCAACTTTTAACAATAATTATATACACAAATTGTTCATCCTTCTTTCTCCAGATCGCCTCATAGCCTCTCAAGCACAGCTGATCACCTTGAGCAAGAACCAACGTGTGCCTCGATGAAGACAGATCTCCGGAGCGTGGATGGCCATGGTCCAATCGGGGGGGTTCGACTTCCATGTCTAACTGGTAGTGAGTCAGAATTTCTACATGGTATGCGCACGTCTCAAACCAACACTTCCTCGTGTTTTTCATGTTTGGTTCTTCTATCCATGTGCTGCTGCGGGAATAGGATCCGCGAGATGAGCGAACCTAAAAAAAGGGTGGGCTGGAACCGGGATTCTTCCTGGACTCGCTGGCTTTGGACGGCTCACAAAGAAACCCACGTTTCAATGACACCCTTGACCGCGACCCAAATCTTCTTCTTTCATGTTTCGTCCTTGAGAACCCTGAGGCCCTTGATCGGCCTACATAAGTACAAGTAAAACATAACCCAGACACTCCATGTATGCCATATATGCCTACATTGACCCCCAAAACCACCCCAACTGAGCGGCATATATGGCAGTCCCATTAGTCGTGTCTGGGTAATAAAACCATGTCATACCGATACCAAATAAAGGCAACGCTCTCAAACCCGTGCACAGGCCCGTCGCCCAAACCTCTACCCTTCTGCTTTTCAAGGCGCAGGTAGGTGGACCGATGACTGTAAGCAGCGCCTTTGGGCTTTCCGGTGGTGCCTGGAGAAAGGACGCTCAGGGCAACCCAGCCGAACTCAGCAGTTTTTCGATGAGAATGACCGCCTGCTCGGCTTCGGGGGTGATCGTCATGCTGGTTTGGGGGGTGAGTAGATGAGCATCAATTTCTAAGATTCCCAAGAGTTCCCTCAATTGTGTCTCACTTGGCAACAAGGGTTGGCCACTGGCAGGCATTGAATTGTCTCAGGAAAAGCATGTTGAACACACTTGAACATCATGAAGCCGCAGCTGTCCCAGCCGCAGGGCTAATAGGTACCAGCAAATGTGCTGCAGTTCCTTCTCAACAACTGGTCAATGGCCGACAAAACTCAGGTGCTCATGTTCCATCCAACATGCCTTCTGCATGGGCTGCACAGTCCCCATAGTTGTGGTGTCAGTTGTGGTCAAGCTCATGCGATAGGCTGAAGCTCCCTCAACGTCACAATCTAGTGCATCTACCGGGCACGGTGTCGTAAGTGGTGTCGTAAGTGGATCTTCTGGGCCAAAATCCATGGATCGCATCCATTTCCCCATGGAACTGCAGGTGTTTTCGGTGGTTTACGCTCTCTCTCTCTCTCTCTGTCAAAGCGCCTGCAGTAACATGTTCTCTCTCTGCAAATCAATGCGCAGAACACCAGCATACAGAAACCTTGCCTCATAGCAACCGTTGGCAACCCAGAAAATGATGATCATATATGATCATTATTCATCATTATACCAAATCTCCCTCTCTTGTGCATGCTAGCTTCATCTAGCTTCTGTGAGATACTTCAACTTCTTGGACCAACTCCGCATGCCCAGGCGCTCCACCAAAAGAGCGAGCTGGGCGGGCGATTCAGGTCCAACACATGTGGAGCGAGCTGTGGAGCTTGGGCGCGCCTGAAGTGTAGCAAAGTCCCATGGTGGTGGTCTCTGGGAACTTGGGCCATTCAAACTCTGGGTCGCCAGAGTTCAAAAACCTCGGCCATCGCATGGCTGCGAGAGAGCGAGGTTTTGGCGGTCCCCATGACCGGGTCCCCGATGTCGGGAAGGTCCCTGTTGGATGAACTCATGACGTGCAAACCGCACAAATCACAGTGGGAAACTGATACAGCATCATTCAGCATCATAACTTCAGGGATGTGGATTCTGTGAAAGAAGAATCGGTCGTTCCATGTCAGACCCATCCCATCTCAGCTCTGAGTACTGTGGTTTCAGTGTTATATATGGACCTCCACCAAGTTTTGGCCTCCACAGCCATGTCATGACCCACAGCCATGACCTCCACCTACATAAATAAAAGTTACCGTAAAAGACATGGCTGTGGGTCAAAGGGTCATGGCATGACGATACCTTCATTGACCGTCCAACGATATGCCAGCGGACTCTGTCACCTGCGCGTCCTGGTTGACCCTTCAGTTGGACCTGGGTGTTCGGCATGTGACCAGCTATCCCAACCAGCCTCACTACCAAGAAAAGACTACAAACTACGCCTTGAAACCTCGGAGGTCAAGCTTGCTACATGGTGGACCAGGGCTCCAGGTTTTGCCTTTTCGACCCGTCCCGCGCTTGGGGTGCCAGTGCCATCTGAAACGTATTCAGCGAATCTTGCCAGTGCCGGCGGAGGAGTCTACCGGTCACATCCCGACCGGGGGGTCGGCCTTCGATTGGTCTTCAGAGTTGCAGGGATACACTGGGGGAGTGTCGAGGGCGAGGAACATCATCTGCACGTGGCTGAGGAGACCAGCGGAGCAAGTCATGGGTATGTGGCAAAAGGAGCTCAAGACTCAAAACCATCAGTTACAAAGATCTCACGGCCATTGCGCCTTAGGTTTATGGTTTATGTTTACCTTGCCGTTAGGGAGGTTGGTTGTGACTGTCTTCCTAGTTGTTTAGAGGGCACAGCTTCCAAACCCCCTAAACAAGACAACTGCGCGACGAAACGACACGCACCGTTTTCCTTCAGTCTTGAGCCAAAGCAAGTCGGGAAACCCAAAATGAGCATCACTGACATGACAGGTCACATGGAATGCATGGTCGTCTCTGAATGCCTTTGGGATGACTGTATTCTCTCAACTCCCCCCTCGGGCAGCATTCCATACCTGGTTGCTTCTATCAATCTACTTTCATGTAGCAGAACCGACGGCAAAGTCACAGATGCATAGCTGCTTCAACATGGCTGGCCATTCTGCAGGTGTGATTACCTTTGTCAGTCCGTTGGCTATCTGTTCTGATGTTTGTGTGTACCAAACAGCATGCATATGTTCATCTTGAAGGACCTCGTGCACAGAACTAACGTTTACACGATGCACCCGAGGTGCATGCCGCAGCTTGGCGGAATACCCTGTCTCCAAGATCTGCACCACCGCTTGGTTGTCCTGCCTATAGTTGACAGGAACCGGGCGTTGCATCAAGTGTTCTAGCATGGTTTGAACATTGAACACCTCTGTAAACATGGCAGTTGACATAGCAATCAGTTCTGCCTCTGGCGTGCTCCTTGCTACACTGGACTGTTTTCGACTGCTCCAATGCAAAGGGTATGTTGCACCACCAGTCTTGATTGCAATCATGATGCCACTTGTGCTCTTGGCACTGTGAGGGCAACCCGCAAAATCAGCATCTGTGTAAACCTCAATTGATGCCTCATGTTCATGAGCATGGTCGATCTCTCCAACCAAAACTTTGTCTCGGCTATGATGAAGATAACAGATGCATCGGTACAGCTGTCTGTCCTCAAATTTCGTCCACTGAGTGACCCTCGTTGTGAGACGGCCCACAATGAAACTGATGTCTGGCCGCGCCAAGCGTGATAGCCAGAGCGCTCGCATCAGAATTCGTGACGCCACGCCACTGAGCTCCCCTGTCTGTGACAGCTCCTGGTCCGTCATAGTGTTTTCAGGATAACTTGGAGTGCTGACCTTCTTGAGCGACTGTTGCTTTGTTCCAGTGAGCTCACAGTATGATCCAACGACTTGATCAACATATGTACGCATGTCAAATGTGATCTTTGTCTGTGAAGGACCTTTCTCAATGAAGTGTCTGCGTCCCAAAATCAAGAGACCTTTCGAGTCGATCTCTTGGAACGGCTCCATCTTCACTTTTGACGACAAGGCGCTCCAGAAGGAACCATGGCACGACCGATGACCACTTAGCGTCAAATCGTCTACATACACATTAAGTAAAAGGACATATTCATGATCTACATCACCCCCATGTTTGCTAGGATTCCATCGAAACAGGAAATTGCTGGGATGTTCCTGCATTTCAATCCCTCCAAGCGAAACAAGACATGAGGTGAGGTGATCTTGCCACCATCTTCCAGCCATTGGGTGGCCGTACAAGCTCTTGCGCAATCTGACTGCCAATCGGGCATCTTCGCCAAACCTGTTCTTCCAGTCTGGCAACCACAATTCGACCGGGATGATCACAAGTGTGAAGTCGTCCTCGTCCAACCTGCTTTGCAAGAAGGCTTGAATTGCATCACTACATGCAGTATGCGCTGCGTTACCACCCATGGCAGGTTCGTGTTCATGCTTCCCATCACACTTGCATTGATCAAGAAACTGGATGAGTCTGAGGTCGGTTGTGCTGACTGCCCAAGGCTTCTTTATCAGCCCACCTTTCTTCCCACGAAGGTTGAACGCACAGCCATGAAAATAAACTCGTTTCATGCAATGGCTTTTCTCGAACTCTAGCCATTGGGGATCTTGCCACAGTTCATTCTCTGCTGGCAATTCAAAGGCAACACGACCACCGTGACTCAGAACCTTATCCATGAACACTTCTGCACTACGTAGCAAAACAATGGCTTCTTTCTGTCTCTGCTTGAGTTTCCTTTGGAATGACCGTCCATGTAAATGCTTATTGAGATGCTGCAATGGGCTGTGGTGCGTGCACACAATAGAAACCCACGTGTCAGCTCCTGCCATAGCATCAACCTGTCCCAGGGCCTGTGACAGGTGGTCAGGATCAGTCAAGTCCAACATGTCTCGACTAAGTCTGATGCAGTCCACATTGATGGATTCAGCAACTTGACCCAGCACAGAGTTGTTGGAGCACGCGAACTCAAACAAAACATTATCCCCTGGAAGTCTGTGAAGCCTGCGGTATCGATTTCTCATCCGACAAGTTTCTACAAACACTTCATCTAGTTCAAGGACCTTACCGATGGCTGCATGTCCTGGTGGAATTCCGGCACTAAAAGGCAGCTCTTCAGACGGAACACCGGCAAACTCTTTGTCTACCTCTGGCAGCTCCACAACGGGTGTTGGCGGCACCGGCATGGTTGCTGGTGTTTCTGGCATGGGCACGGGTGTCTTTGCTCCCTCTTCCTTTCCAGAGGCTATGCGTTCTGCCCTGAGCAGTCCGTTGAACCTCGCCCGGCAAACTGGAGTGTGCTTACTATAAGTTGCTTCGAACCTACAGGCACGACAACCATCTGTTGCTCCAAAGCGAATGATACGTTCCAGAGTGATATATTCGTTTCGTTTCGTTTTGTTTTCAACGGCAGCATCGGAAAAGGGGATGTCAAGGGGCGCGATATCTTCCAAGGCTACATCACCGAAATTGGCCAATGCAAGATCAGCTGCGCGCTTCAATGGAAGCATTGGTTCTTTTTCCTCGACAAACAGCTCTTCAGCTGGCACGGAGATTGCATTTGCATACCCTGCCCCCCTGTCCTTTACTTTACCGTAGTCAAGCACAAGATATATGCCCTTGTGAGATTTAGGACCTGAATCGTACCTCCAGCCTGCAAACAACCCGGGTTTTGATGAAGGGTCAAACTTTCCTCTTTGAGAAGGGTCCACATAGTAGTGAACAAGCTGTCCCAACAACAACTTCCGACCCGAGAATTCGACTCCTACGGCTAGCATGTGACGAGTCTGGTCCTTCCCAGCAGCCTTTTGACGAGCCGACAGGATGGTAGCAGCATAATCAATGGAATGAACCCACAACCCGGGCACTACATCAAACCCTGCCTGAAGGTGACACGCTCTTGCAATCTCCTGCAAAGTTCGAATGTCCCTTTCTAGAGTGGCATTATGGGGAAATCTGTTCTCTAGAGTTCCTTCAAATGCACATCCCAATTGTTTGCATGCTGCTTTTGTTTCAACGGCTTGGTCGGACTTCACCATGATGGATGGCTGCTCATAGGAGGGACCTAGAAAGGCTAGAATGTTTCCAACGACCGTGGACGTGTCTCGCTTCGCCAAAGGAAACGCTCTGAGCCATCCTGAGTACTCATCTCTAATGACCTGAACGGCATGTTCCTTTCCTGTACTTAACTTCTGAACAATCACAAAATCAGTTGCAATTCTTTCTCCAAATGTGGTTACCGGGTCTAAAGCTCCTCGGTCGGCAAGCGGATCATGCCTAAACCTACGGACACGCTTTCGATACATCCGGGACCTTTGGCAAATTGGACATGATGCGTTTTTCGGAAAATGACACAGTTTATGCTCGAGGGAGTTAGCTTCAGCCACCAGTCTCCTCATCCGATCAATCGGCATTTCCCCTTCGGAGTCTGCATCAGATGATCCCCCCTCTTCCCGCACAGCTTCTAGAGCTCTTGGGACTTCTGCTGGAGGTGGAGCTGGCTCAACACCTTCTGAAGATGCACCTGCCAGGGCATATGCTGACGACATGTGAAATTCTTCTGAAAAAAATAGGCACCCCGTCTTCTACACGATTTGCAACAATGATGGTAGACGCATCTGCTGCGACTTGCACGGACTCTGCATTGCGACCGAAATACGGCAATTCCCCTGGACACCAAATAAAAGGATAACCCTGCTCCACAAGCTTACCTAAGGATCTGACAAGTGGGCAATCGTCCATGATCTGGAAGTTGGCTTTGCCAAACAACGATCCAGGAACATCAATGCATGAATCACTCACAACAGTACCGTTTCCCGTTTCGAATTTGATTGGACTTGTTGATTGCATTTGCTTTTGAACGAGATGTTGTGGAACCCCTTGATCGGTCAAAGCACGAACGGATGCCAAGTCACGACCTGCACCGGAATCCGCAATCCACTCAAAAGCAAATTTGTCCGCTGAACGAGCACTCAATGCAACACTTTGCTCATGTGACACTACTGCTGGCATTGCTTGCAGAGATGCATGTTCTGCATACACCTGCAATGGATTGGTGTCTTTGACACCGGTGAACATTGTGACACAAGATGCAAGAAACTGCATGATCCTCCCAATGAACGATTTTCCCATGGAAGATGCTACCCTACACGGTGAAGCTGGACATGCAGATGCAGAACAGACACTCTACTCGCGAACTATCCTCTGGTTTTGCAGAGTCAGGCTTTGCCTTGGGATTTGGCTTTGCCTCCTCTCCTTGACTCTTACCCTTACCTTTGCCCTTCTTGTCCTTCTCGGAACCCTCACCTTTCCCCTTTGCCTTTGGCTGTGGCTTCGGCTTTGCCTTAGCCTTAGGGATTGGCAGTCCTTTGGACTCGGCACCTGGTGCATCATGTTCACATGACACTGCTGCCGCAGCCTTTGGTTTTGGCTTGTCAAGCAGCTTGTTCTTTTCTCTGGTCTTGCTTTGCAAGGAACTGCGCACTGCTTCTTCATTCTGGTCTTCTCTCATCTCGTTGATACAAATCTTGAGCTTATTGAAAAGCCATTCCCATGTGCGACAGTGTGAGCCAGCACGTGAGTCACGGATCTTGTCAACATGACGCTGCATGGCACGGACCTTACGCATTCTCGAGTACAGCCAAGTATACCGTGTCATCTCGGAAGGCTGCAACTCCGGTGGGATGGAATTGAGCACATACTCTACCCGATCTACGAAGCTTCTTAGACCCTCATGCGTGAAATTTGTCACCTCAATCTCAAGCAAACTTTGTTGGGTTAGATTGGCACCACGGTTCTGGTCAAGGAAAAAAACGCTTTGCAATCATACTCAACAAGACCCTCCCCAACGGAGCCCTTCCCCTCATCTGCTCGGATTCGGTGTACGCCTGAAACTGCAAACCAAGCTCCCCTTTGAGGTGCTTAGATTCCATCAACAGGCTTGCAAGATGAGCATCCAATCTTGGCATTTCCCCGGAAGTACCCTCTAACATTTCTTTCGTGGCTTCGACCGAGAACGCTTGAAGCAACCACTGGAGGATCCGACTTTGTCCGGTCCTATCGATCGAAGAGGCCTTTGTCAGAAAGGTGTTCTTCCATCCACGGAACTGTGCTGCATCGACTGGAATGCTATCTATCTTAATCAAACTCAAGTCCTTAGCTTTGTAAATGACAGATTCATCACTGACATATGCCGATCCGACGCCAACGGATGGATTGCGACTGTACCCGAAACCCCCAGACCCAAATGGCTGCGGCGAACCAGGATCTCCACCTCCCGGCGAGCTAGGACCTGTACTTCCCGGCGACCCTCTTCCTCCTCTACGTTTGCTTGTGGAAGATGATGATGATGAGTCCGACGGCGGTCCTGGATCAGGCGGGACAGCTGATGGTGTGGACATCGAAAACACTTGCGGAAATGTCGAACGCGGACCAAAACCCTTGCACGCTGGTGACCTAGCAGCAGTGTCAACAGGTGGGTACCCAGCACAAGCCGATTGCCCTTCGTAGTGGGGTGATCCATGGGGAGATCCATGGGGAGAGCCAGATGCAATGTTCTGCAACCGCTTCACTTCCTCTTTGAGGGACCCCATTACCTTCAACAATTCCTGCGCATCAACCGCGCCATTATGGATATAGGACTGAGGAGTTTGAGGAACTGCTGAATGTTGCAACAGAGCGAGTTCATTCTGCAACATGGCAACTTGGCTAGCTAAGGCTACTTGGTCTTTCTTCTGTGTTTCCAACAATTTTGCTTGTCTGTCAATCATTTCCAGGAGTTGTCGATTACGATCTTCTGACACAGAGAGTTGCTGTTGCGCTTCAGCATAAGCTCTTTGAGCGATGTCCTGCAACTTCTCTACTTCCTCTTTGTGGGTTCTTTGCATTTCATCCACAAGACGGCTAGCTTGGGATTCCACGGATTGCACATGAGCATGTGCTTCTAGAACCCTGGATTGAGCTTCACCCTGAACAACCTGAACCTGTTCTTGCAATGCACGAACTTCGGACTCTGCGTGTGACATGATCACATGGGTCTCGGTACGGGCAGCACTTACTGCGGCATGAGCTTGGGACATGAGTTCACTCTCACGGGCTATCACCTGGTCTGCTGGCACCCCCATGTTCATTTGCAATGTCCTTTGGTCATGCAAGTACACAGCGGTGTTGCTTTGATCTTGAGCATGGGTTACTGACCTTTGGTCATGTAGGTGCATGGAACCAGGACCCCTGTGCGAAACCTCACGACCGGCTCTGCCCGCTGGTGGTCTTGCCGACGAGCTCCTACTGCTACTTTGAGAACTGGCTTCCCTAGACCCTTTGGTGTTCGTCTTAATCACCTGGAGAGCCCTGTGTGGCGGGGGTTGTTCCGGGCTAGTTGATGACACCAACATGGACTGTGAGGTCGACTCATCTTGAGGTTCTGGTGACATCATATCGAATGAATCTCTAATTTCTGAAATTTGTGGCATGGTATCAAATGAGAACACAATGCAAAAAAAAAGGCCTACCAATCAACAAAGCTTTGCAATGGATTGGGGTTCACCCAAATGACACTGAAGTTGCACGAATGCAAACACTCAGCACCGGCCCTGAACACAGCAAACTTTCACCCCTCAGTGCAAGTTCTGCTATATTACAAGCGACTTTGCGCTAATGCCAGCGACGAGTGGCCACGGTGTTATCCACAATCTCTCTCACGTTCCGGCAGTACTTGACCCCTGCAATCTGCCGCTTGCGAGGCACGACAAGCCCAACAATGTCCAAACCGCAATAGGGGTGAGATTCGATGTGGTTCTGAATCTCACTCAACACCTCTGGCGAATCGTCCACGTGAGCCAGGTACACTCCAGGCCCTTGTAACGACAGCAAGAGCTGTAGCTTTCCCTTTGGCCCGTCTGGCTTCCTTGTGATGTACACACCAGAAAACTCAGCTTGAGGCAATGTATGCCTGAGCACGTTTTGCACAGTGTCCGGATTGTGACAATAGCTCACAACGACCTGACAGATCTGATCAGATTGCAAATCTGCAACAGCTGAACGGACCTCTTGTGGCAACCACCCTTGCTGGCAATGAACTTTTCGTGTATTGCTGTAGCGAAAACAGTCCAATACCTGGTGGAAGTCCCAGCTCAGAATCAACTTGGTATTCGCAGGAATGGGACGCCGACCCAAATGATGCCGTGCCTCAAGTTGCCCGAGTCTCTCCGGTGTCAGAGCCAACAGAGGAGGTCGCTGCACTGTCAAGTCCACCTGAGGAGGTCGATGCACTGTCAAGTCCACCTGAGGAGGTCGCTGTGTTGGAGGATTGGCCTTTGGCGGTGTGGGCGAAGCGGTCGATGGGGCTGCCAATGAAGCTGTCGGTGAAGCAAACTGTTGCCGCAACAATGGATTGTTCCTTGTCACTGAAACTCCTGCCAATGTACTCGCCCTGGACGCCGTCAAGCGAACAAGAAGAGGAGGCGGTGTTTGAGCTTCAGCTTCCGTTTCGGATTCAGAACGACTCACCGGCAAGCTAACAGTCTCCTGCACACTCTCTGACTCTATTGACAAACGATCGGCTTCTTCTCGGATATCCGGTTGTTCTGCCACCCAAGATCGAAGATTCGGCAACACAATGTGCTTGCTCTCCGGAAACGTATCCTCTCGGCTCAAATAATTCAACCGCTCTTGCACCTGCCGATAGCGTAGATCCCACTGTCGACGCTCAGATGCTACTGCAAAAACCAGCTGACGAATAATCCGAAGCACACGTTCCAAGAGAATTTCAAGCAACTGTCGATGTATCGCCCTTGTACGACGACGCGCTGCTCTCCCACCCCTGTTGGAAGCTCGATTGCGACGATGAGCTTCAAGCACTGCCCTCTGTCTTCTCTCAAGAGGGCTCCTCGACCTTTGTCTCGGAGGAGGAGGAGGCGGAGGCACCCGACGCATGCACGAGGTGCGGCGAGCAAATGACAACTAGTGTTGCAAACACTCTTGATCCCAAAGGTGCAGTTGGTCACGAGTTTCAATTTTGTTCTCAGGATCTCTCCACTCAATTGCTTTGCAAGAAAGATGAGGATCGGGCAAAATGCCTGACTGAGACTCTTACTTAGATGGAAACGGTATCACAGGTGGAGCCGAGAATCCTCTAAAAAAGGATGGAAACTTGGTTCCTATTTGAGGCCTTTGTGATTATGGAGGTCGGATACTATCCTCTTTGGTACCGGAGTTGCACCGTATGCAAAACACCCGGCCCTGAAGACACGAAGACCCTCTGTCCTTGACAACAGCGGTCTGAGATGCAGCTCGCACAAAGGTTTTGGCCTGAGACAAGATGCAAGGTCACTAACACCAATTGGCACGGGCAATCAACACGATATATGCTCTGGCACAAAAGGGAGTTAGGCGAGGTTGGAATTGTCCGAGCTGGCTCAAGGCAGGAACAAACCCTTTGTGGAAAGATGCACTTTGAGGCTGTTAACCAGTTGTTTAGAGGGCACAGCTTCCAAACCCCCTAAACAAGACAACTGCGCGACGAAACGACACGCACCGTTTTCCTTCAGTCTTGAGCCAAAGCAAGTCGGGAAACCCAAAATGAGCATCACTGACATGACAGGTCACATGGAATGCATGGTCGTCTCTGAATGCCTTTGGGATGACTGTATTCTCTCAACTTTCCTTTGCCACCCTTTCATCACCCTTCCCTGTTCTTCGTTGGTGACCAAAAGCTTGGTTTTTGCCGTCGAGTCACTCTTCATAATCAATAGTCTTGGACGAATCCAATCCTGCGTTTCTTTCTGCCGCCACAAATCAAGGAAGTGCACCCACACGGGTGCGCTGAGACAGGATTGATGAACCAACTCGCTTTGGGGTGACTGTGGGAGTGCTCAGCAGGACAGTCCTTCCCCCCTCCCGGTGGACTGGAGCACGAGAAACGGACACTTATGGGTGGGTGGTGGAACAAATTCTAAAGTCGAAACACTTTCACACACTTTCACCTTCGATCATGTAGACTGTATCACACACACACACCCGGATTACTAGGCTTGGTTTTTACATCTCTAGGCTGGGGGGGTGATGAGCAGTGCACATCCAGCGCGCCAAACATCATGACTTCCATCCAGCACCGTCAGCTCCTGTAGGAAGCTCCCATTCGTTTGCCACACCATCTTCCCCCACACCTCAGCTGGTGTGGGAATCACCGGAAGAAACACCCAAGCTTTAGCTGTATGGATCGGATCGGCTTTAGGCAGGGACTCGGACCTTGCCACCCACCATGACTCTTGAGGAATTTTCAGTCTCCGGATCCCATAGACACCATGGGACTGGAATATCCCTACATTGACCCCCCAAAAACCACCCCTGGCCATTTCTCGGCAGTCCGGACTGGCAGTTATGGGCATTGACCATCCATGGTCGATTCACTGGGCTGCGTGTCTCCAGCGGTCGAACGTCGGACGTGTCTACGTGCGGTGCGTCGTCCATCCACCACAGACTGGTCCCAGCACTGGGTGTTGGTGCAGCACACCAAACCTTCCACGAATCCATGGGACTGGAGAATCGATGCCACCCTGACCTCGTGGTGCATATTGCTCCATCACCCCATGGTGCCGGTGCCACCCATTGACTGCCATGTCCCATCGAGGGTGTCTGGGTACTGCCGAGCGGCAAATCAAGAGCTCCACTCCTTGCAGCATGGAGGGTTCCACCTGGGCCAAGAGCTTCAGCAGGTCGAAATCGCAAATGATCATACCTCGATCTGAAGGACGTGGAACGCTGAAGTGATCAAACATGATCTGCTGTCTCTGCTGTCCCGGCAACCTGGAAACATAAGAACATATTCCCCAGAAGGGGATTTACCCATGGGGATGTTTAAACACATCGCCTTAAGCAAAACCCAGTTTATGCCCAAAAATGTGTAGGATTCAGAAGGCTGTCATGCCCAGTTCATATTGTTATTCATCTACAAAGTTCCACTTAGGTCAAGTGATTTCTGTCCTGATATAGTCCAAGTTCGTCCGGACTCGGGAAGTTTTTCCATCTTCTGGATGTCCTCACTTCCGGGGAGAGACAAACACATCGTCGACCTGAAACCCCAGATCCGCCAGGTTTTTTTACGTGACCCCGGTTCAACAAAAAGGCGAAACACAAGCTGCTTCGACTCCCAAGCCCCCTTTCAGCCGTTCCGCCTCCTTTCGCCTGAAGCTGGAGGTCGGAATCCTCTTCAGAGCAGTCCGCAACTAGGCCAAAGAGAAGTAAGTTGGGACCCCCAGATTCATAGGAAACATATGGATAAAATCATCCAGCACCACCTGACTGACCCTTTTTGTGGTGCCGCCTTCGTGGCCGAAACTGCGGCTGCCCCTTCGCGGATGTCTGCCTTACCGCTATAATGACTCTTCCACCATGGCCTTTCCAGCTTGCCCAAGGCACGGTCATTGGCATGTTGGATGATGTAGCCCAAATCCTTATCATGTGTGTCCAGCAATTTTGGGGGAGTTCTCTTCACCTGGGTGGACCTCGGTCTGCCAAAACCGGCAACCACACGAATCAATCAGCTTTCCGGAAATCAACCCTGAACAAAAAGTTGTATATCTGAACAAAAGCTGCAGCTGGTTTAAACCTGCACGTTGGAATGAAAGCTTGGGTATTAATTATATAATATCTATTCATGTTTCAAGTCAATTCACGGCTACACACTTCCGTCACCAACCAATGCACTTCCGTACCCAAGCAATTTTGTCGATCTCACTGCATGCCATGTGATGGCTTTTCTACTTGCCATGTCGCGACGTTGCCCGTGACATGGTCGCGATGTTGCGATGACCAGAGAGAATGTTGTGCACCCCTGATTTCAAACCCCTGCTCTTCACATGGGCGGTTTATTAATGAAGAGTATTGAAAAGGTCTACATGGAGTATACATTATAGATGTACAGTTAGAATGTTAGAATGCTAAAGGCTTTCTGCCACCTGCTCCTGGCCGGGTCAAGTGGGGAGAACAACGGCGTTACTAAGTTGGTCTCTCCAAGCTGCAGCAGGTCCCAAACGCAGGTTCAAGGTATGCAGCACTGCGCCCATGCAAGGGATGGCATGATAGCCTCAAGTCGGGACAGGATTTTTCTTACCCTCACTCTCACGCTCATGGCCGGGTCCACTCTGGCACACAAAGGCGGAACTGTTTGAGGTTCTCAGGCGGTTTCTGGCGGGTTTCTGGCGGGTGTCTCACCTCTGATGCACGACCAAGACATGGTTCGGCCGTTTCTGCGGTTTTCTTGGCCTGCATGATGCAATGCAAGCTGCTGAAAGGATTCTTTGGAGTTGGTGGTGGTGAGGAAACCATCATTTCCTCATGCCTCGGGGTGCGGAAACGTCGACCTCCCAGCGGCACAAAACCGGTCTTTGGTCGTTCCCCTCCCGTGTTCTCCCTGGTCATGATCCGTCACAGGGTCGAGGCCTTCAGGTTTCCACCTCCCCAGGACTTCAGGGGTCAGTTCTCCCGAAGAGTCGTACGCCCAGTGGCACTCCATATGCCATGCAGTGTTCCACAGGAGCGTTCCAACTCGATCTTCAAGCTGGATGCCTCTGGCTGATCTGCACGACTCTCAAAAAGGAGTATCAACAGTGCACCCCAAACAGTTGCTGTAAGCTTTCCGGGGGGCAATCTTTAAGCACTTCAAGTGCAGGTCTTCAAACCGATATCTGGCACATGTCACAACCTTCAGAATCTAGAGGCTCTAGTAGGGATGATGTATAGACATAGACCATCATAGACCTATCCCAGACCATCGGGACTGGAATTGTTCCGTATACATTGACCCGAATCACCCCATCTGATGCAAATCGTCCAGCCCCGCGTCCCTGAAACAAAACAGTCTTCCAAGAGGCCATATTCCACTTCCATGTTTGTTGGACAAAGGGTAGATCCTAAATCCCTCCGCATCCACCGGTGTCTGCTGGGAGACTCCACTTCGCCTTTTCGCCTCACTCCCGACCGAGGAGACCGACCGGTGCGCGGCGGACGCACCTCGCTGTTGCAACGCAGAAGCCAAGCGCTTGCAGCGGCGCTGGTGCTCCAAGTAGGTCTGTGTCTGATAACCTGAGTGGTCGCCAGCCACGTGCCAGAAGCCCTTACTTAGTAGCATAGCGTCCTTTTGGTAGCAAACGGTGATCGAATCCGAAGCAAAAGCACCACGAGAGAGAGGTGGAATAACTGGAGCTTACACAATGAATCTCCATCCTGATCCCCTGTGAATCTGCAACATGATCGATGCCTGCACTACTGACTACTGCTGGGTAGAGGTGTTCCCCGTCCCAAAGTCAAGCAAACAACTTGTTTTCAAACCAAGTGTGAAAGAATGTGAAATAAGTCAAGCGGCGTCAAGCGGCCAACACATCCCGCAACTGTCGCGTTGGTCCTGGAAAGTCATAGCCAGTCATGCCAAGTCGCCGAGCTTTGTCTTCGTGATGATCAAGTTGTCCGGTTGGAGCTGGCTGCCTGTGCAACGCATCCGACAAGGACGGCCGGAGTATACAGGGAAACCCCTAACAATTGGATGGTAAACTACCAGGAACAAGAAGCTACTAGGGGCTCCTGGCCTTACTACTAGGAACAAGAAGCTACTGGTTACTACTAGGAGCAAGGACGCTACAGTACTAGGGGCTCCTGGCCTTACTACTAGGAACAAGAAGCTGGAACTCACCATCCGAACTCACCACCCCCATCTCCATCCAAGCGTCCACGATCCAAGAGTGGACCTGGAATGCAGCGCAGAACAAAGAAACGTCAAAGGCAACTGCGAAAGAGATAATGATTATTGTTATGATGGTGGTGATGATCATGATGATTCATGGATTATGGATTATGGATTATTAATGTTGATAGATGATGGATGACGGATGATGGATGAGTATGACTATGATGCTGCCGCTGTCCGCTGCTGCTGCTGCTGCTGCTGCTGATGATGATGATGATGATGATGATGATGATGATGATGATGATGATGAATGATGATGATGATGATGAGTGATGATGATGAGTGATGATGATGATGATGATGGATGATGGATGATGGATGATGGATGATGGATGATGGATGATGGATGATGGATGATGGATGATGATGATGATGATGATGATGATGATGATGATGATGATGATGATGATGATGATGATGATGAT